CCCCCCCCCCCCCCCCCCCCCCTGTTGAGAAAGAGAGCTGTTCAGGGTTGATTCATTCTCTGAAATAACTCAATACATGCTATAAACAAGGGTTTTCTGAAAGTCATGACCTGAGGGCAGCTACCAAAGATACAAATCAATCTCTCACACACACACACACACACACACACACACACACTACATGGGAGCAGTCCACATGGTGCATTCTTTGAAATACAAATGAGTGGCAGGAGTAGCAAGCAGGCCCTTTGAAGCAGTTGGCCTTGTGGACTATTTGTTTCTTGCTGTGGTTGTGACACTGGGGTGCAGACGATTTTAACTTGGTAGATACAATTTGCCATTACCCACTAATTACATTTTTAATACTATGTTCTTGGGTTCAGATTATCATTATTTATTATAACTATAAATCAACTATGTTGAATCCTGGCTCCTGCACAGGCTCTGTTGCAGCTAATGCTTATTTTAGCTGTAATAATAATAATTGTAATGGATTAATCTGCTTCTTGAGATTATTTTTGATTAATTGATTAGCTGGAAAAACTGGAAAAAAATGCCCCAAATTTTCCCAGAGCCCAAAGGGATGTCTTCAAGTGTCAACATACTGTATATTAGCTTATAAGTATTAGTAGTAGATGTGCTGACCGAGTCGTTGTGTTTTTAGCCTGGCAGGAGGTGGTGCAGCAGGGGCCAGAGGAGGTCCAGGGAGCAGTCCAGTACAAAGAAACCACTCCAAGCCTGCACATGGACAGTGAGTACAGCTTCTCCTCCTCCCCACAGTCCTCCTCGCATTCATGTGCATTTTAATGGTTACGGCGTAACTAAACAAGATTTTCATGTCCAAATATGTCAATGTAAAGCATCTACAGGACATGTGCTTTGACACGGGTGTTTCATGAAGGTTTTGTTTGAAGTAGTGGTGAATTCTTCATTTTCTTTAGTTGTTATTTTGTCTGATGACAACAGCCCAAAGACCTACTGTTAATAGGTTGCATTGGTTTATGCCAACCAAGGATTAGTGGACCTGCTTCTGATCCGTCCAGCTGGAGGGAAGCCAGCAGAGGTCACAAGCCTCTCTCCTCGTGGTCTACATGAGTTTTGCCAACTTTGTTGACACATGTGTGAGGTCTGTACGGTTCAGTTTTGGATTATTGGTGTTCTTAGCATATGCAGATAATAATGAAAATTCTTCTACAGCCAGCACTGAACACACAAGTGTAGCCAACATGACAATCTTACACAACCAGTCTTTCGAGGAAATCAATTTTTTCCTTGCACGATAAACGGGATGAATGGCCACTTCATTCATTCATTCATGTGTTTCTTAACATTGTCTGATGGTCAAACACTATGGTCTCTACTGTGTTACAAAAATATTTCATAGTATAGGATGTCACAGTATGGCATAAAAAATGTAATTAAAAATCATTTCAAAATGCATAGTATGGAAAAAGTCCTCAAAGTTATAGTATATTAATTGATAAAGAATGTAATAAGAGATTTTTATAATGAATGTCATCGAGCATTCACATCTCCAACTGACTCTCAGAAACTGGTTCATGTATTCATCTCAAACAGGTTCGACTACTTTAACTCTATTTAAACAGTCAGTAAGCTCAAGCTTAAATAAAATGAGTCCTCACACAAATTTGAACATGTTGTTTTGGTCCTGAAATAACTTCATTGGCTCCCAGTACAAAACGGACTTCTCTTTAAAAAAAAGTTATAGTATGCTAGAATAAGATGGATAGAGATATACTTTATTCATTCCCAGGGGGGAATTTGTAAGAATAAAGTCATAGTATAGTATGTCGCAAAAAGTCATTTTGTATTATGATATAGAAAAGTCATGTTATAGCATGTCATAAAGGATGTCCTATTACAATATGCCATGAAAAGTCATAGTACAGTATGTCATCAAATGTCCCAGTACAGTATGCCATTAATAAATATATTATTAAAAAGTCATGGTATAGTATGCCATAAAACAGTCACTAAAATGTCATAATATAGCATGTCATAAAATATTCATAGTGTAGTACGTGATGAAAAAAAGTCATAGTATAGTAAGCCATGAGAAAGGCCCAATACATGTCATATAGTATGCCATATAAAAGTCACAGTAGAATGTTAGAGAAAAACCACCAAAAAGTGTAATAGTATAGTATGCTATAAAATGGTCATAGTGTAGTATGTCATAAAGTCACAAAAGATGTCATGTTATAATATGCCATGAAAAGTTATAGTATAGTGTAAATAAAAAAATAGTATGTCCAAAAAAGTTATAATAAAGTCATAGTATAGCACTGACTTTTATTTTTTTTTCCGCAAAAGTCATAGTATAGTTAGAATGTCAAAAACATGGGATTTGTGTTGATGAATAGACCGTGATAACCATTTTGTTTGACGTTATTTAACTGTTAAACAGCAAAATATAACCGAACAATTGAATCTACATTATTGCACAAAGGAAATATTCATATTGAATAGTTTCATTGATATTGCACATTAATGAATTGTCAGTTTCTACTGGAAACGGTGTTAATTGTTAAATGTATCAGTAGCAGGAAGGAAGGACCTCCGGGTTCTCTGCTTCACACACCATGAAGGAAGCAGTCTGTCAGAAAGGCTCTGTTTATATAGCCTGCATGCTGTAGCTTTGAAGATTTCATGGGGCCATATTTCCGTTGCACTTTTGTAGTCCTTCTTTGTTGTAGTGTCGGATTCTTTGAGTGCCACAGTTGTCTTTTCCTAAATCCTTAAGAATTCTCCTTCACATACTTCCTTGACCTTGTTACCTTTTCCTTCGAATTCAAGGAAAATGTTTAGGAATACACGGCAGGAGGTAATTGTTTGACTTTACGACCGTAGCTATAGTGTTGAAAGTCATGTGAAAAGAAGTTTCAAAAAAAATCGTATAGTAAAAAGTTATACTATATAAAGTCAAAGTAGAAATCATAACGTATCATTAAATAAGGTGTTAATATAGTATGTCATATCAAATTTTGAAAAACTCATAGGTCAATGCCATAGTATAGGATACCATGATCAAACGTCGTATAAAAAGGCAGATTTAGAAAGCTTATTCATAAAGAAATTATTTGTTTTCATTTTCTTCACCTTATTTTGAAAGTACGCTACAACTGCTGTATTGGCGTTAGCTTAATTGATATACACATTGCAGTTCCTCATTGTAACCACCAGAGGGCAGCGTGTGACTTGGGATTCCGTTATTACCTCAAATGATTCAAACGGTCGTTCTAAATATAAATACCGTATTACGTCGTTTTAATCTGTAACTGACCGCATGAGAACACAATGGATTTATATACGTTTCTCTGTAGACCTACTGATTTCACCTTTTGAAATAACAAACGAGATATTATAAACCAGTTTGTTAGCTACGAATTTAACTTAATGTTGCAGTTTCTCACCGTGACCACCGGAGGGCGACAAACACTCAGTATTGTAAATACACACTGGCTCACGGTCAGCTCCTATCAGCGTCAAAACTAAAATATCACCAACAAAAACGACTTAACTTAGTACCAAGGCATGTCTCGTTCTCTATTTTTATATATTTGTACATATATTATAAATGTATCTACTGCTATTCAATGTTTGTCATTACTTTAGGACACAAAAAAAAAATGGTTGCGAAATGTTCTCTGCATATTTCAACTGGTTTAGGCTGTAATGACCCTGAAACTCAAATGCCAGCAGACTTTTAATCTTTTTGATTCTTTTTCCAGAGTTCGTTCCTATAGATCTGGATGAATGGTGGGCAAAACGTTTCCTCGCCAACATCGACAAGCTGTCCTGACATTCAGCTGGAATTTGTGAATCTTGACAGACGGTCGGGAGTGGAGACCTGGAGCAGGCTCACAGTGGAGAGGAGGCCTGGGCCGGTGTGACGGGTTAAAAAAAAAGGCCCCGATGTGGTTTAAATGGACGGACAGCGCTGGGACGCTCGCATAGAAACCACAGAATCACCTCACTTGAACTCTCGCCTTTGAACTTGCCAATCCCTCTCTAAAAATATTCTGCGTCAGACTGGAGGACGACGTGCGGTTCAGCTCGTCTTTCCGCCCTCACAAAAGAGATGTCATGTTCCTTTTGAAATGCAGTAAAATTGTATTTTCAAGAAGCTCCGTCTTGGTATGTTTACTCATCTTAATGATAATGTACACAGGACGTCAACAGCTACATAAAATAAAAAGCATTTTATTAGATTCAATGACGCCTGATGAGAATCACCAGTCACATTTGCAGCTCATACACTGATTTACATTAAACAGTTTATTTGACAGTTCAAAAACAATTACATGAAATATACCTTCAGGTCTTCAGCTTCTGGAACCGCAAGCCAACAAAATATTAAATAATGTGAAAAACATGGATATTGGAGGGTTTATAACAGTTTAACGGCTCTAATTAGCAGTGAGGACATCTTATCGTTTCAAAGCTCTAATCCACACTTCACTATAAAGCTGTTACAGAATACATCAAGAGAAATCAGATTTACTTCCACACTCTCGTTTTGTTTCTCGGCTTGTTTTGTTTGCGGCTGGTGTTCATCCATGTGGACGACATGGATTGATGAAATAGTGCTAAACACATACAAGTGTTTACGGAGACGCTTCCAGCAGTTCATCCTCACGCCAGCTGTGCTTTTGAAGCATTTATGTGCTCTCATAATGAAATACTCCGGGGGGGGGGGGGTTGACGGTATTTTATGGCTCCAGATGAACAAGGCCTGCAGTTCTCCAGCTTTGTCCGCCTGTAAATGCTTCACAAGCCACCGTCATCAAAACCGAGTCCGTCTGTAACCGCTCACGTTGGCTCTCAGTGCTTCTCCAGAGCTTTAGTCAGCAGGTCATTAAGGCGGGAAATCATCGGTCGGGGGTCATCGTTCAGGCCTGCTGTGATCATGGCGTTATCATAGATCTGCAAAAAACAGACAAAGAGACAAAGTTGGTTACGAGTCTTGTGTTTTTCCCCAGAATGCTGTTGTTAATAACTGAAGACTTCCTGCACGTTTCAAATTAAAAGCCTCCCGGGAGCAGCTTTAAAGTGTGAAACGTCTGTGCAGGAAGTCATTTCCACTAAGTGTCAGAGGAGAAACAGTATGAATGTGTTGTACATTATCCTGAACTTAAAGACATCAGGCAGATCAGAAAACAAAGATGAACATGTTTTCCACACGCAGCTCTTAACAACCCACAGTACCTGTTCCAGTAACAGACCGGCCAGTTCAGAGTTTGTGTCCTTCAGTGCCTGCAACTTCTTGATCAGATCATGTCTGTTAGAAAAAGAAGTACAAGGAAGTGAGAGCTGGACACAGTAATGCCAACTGGCTTTTATTTTATTCCATCTAGTAACATACACACACACTCTTTCTCACCCTGCATTGATCTCCAGTGTGGGCTGCAGTATCTGAGCTCTCTCCTCGGGGGTGCGAGCCAGCTGCTGGGTGCGGAGGAAGTGTCGCGCAGCTCCCATTTCCAGCACTGTGATCATAGCTGGGTGGGTGTCTAGCCGAGGAGTCAGCTACGGGGCGGATGAGGGAAAAAAAACATGCATTATGCAAAGTGACACGAAAAAAAAAACTAGTTTGAATTCACGACTGAGACGATTTCAACACATTTAAGGCTTTGACTCAGCATTACTCTTATCTTTACCTTTATGTTGGTGACTCGGGGGCCCAAAGCGTTCTTCATCCAGGACAGCAGGTCGTCTGCTTGCTCCTGCGTCAGACGCTCGGAGGCTGCGGGAGAGAAAAGGCGATAAACCGGAGTCAAGACTACAGCCGTGACGGGTGTCGTGCTACACTGGAGGTGTGAGAGCGGAGCTCACCGGGCTTGCTGTCTTCAAACTTCTCCTCTTTGTAGTGATCCACCACGATGTCCGTCTCCACCGAGATCACCTTCTTCTGGTCAAAATCGCGGAGGTGGAGCAGGGTGAGCTCGTCGAACTGCTCGTAGCAGAACAGCACCTGGACGGACACGAGAGACGTGACAAAACATATGTTTTCTGGACTTCTTTCTCATATCGAAAGTGCCGATGGATTCCTTATCGTATCGAAGTTTTGATCACTACCTCCATGTCTTTCTGTTTCATGGCCTCATAGTAGGGAGAGTGCTGTGCAAGATGGCGGTTGGGCGCGCACAGGTAGTAGATGTTGCGCGTGCCCGCCTTCATGCGGGAGGAGTACTCCATCAGATTGGTGTGCTGACCCGCCGGCAGGGCTGAAGACTCAAACCTCAACAGCTTAGCAATGTCCTCCTGCACAGACAGGAAGGAGGGTCCACAGTCAAGATACCACAATCACATCTGTAATCAGCCGTTTGCATTCTCCAAGTCACCTTGACGTCTTGTTCCTGCGTGGTGACGATGCCCTCCCTCATGAAGAGGCCGTAGTCCTCAAAGAACTTGTTGTACTTCTCAGGCTCCTTCTTGCTCTGGTCCAGCAGGAAGCGGATCACCCTCTGCTGCAAAACGTCACGGAGCTTCCTGAAGCCACAGGGAAGTAAAAATGACAGTTAAAAGAACTGAGAAATGCATTTTGAATTCATATTTAAATATTCCTGAAAATGTAGATGTTATGTAAAAGCATAAGAAAACACGGTGAAGACAGAAGTGTGTTGTACCTGATGAGGGCGCTCTCCTGCAGCAGCTCTCTGCTCAGATTCAATGGGATGTCCTCACTGTCCACCACACCTACACACACACACACACACACACACACACACACACACACACACACACACACACACACACACACACACACACACACTTAGCCCAGCACTGAAACGTGAAAAACACTTGTGGAGCTTCTTAGGGTGGGGTCCAGACCTCGGAGGAAGCGAAGCCACTTGGGCAAGATGTCCGTGGCTTTGGTCTGGATCAGGATCTTCCTGCTGAACAGAGCCACGCTGGAGCCCATCTCCCTGCTCACGTCAAACATGCTCGGCTTCTGTTGACAAAATAACTTATTCTTAGTAAACGTAGATACTCACTACCACCGGAAAACATGTTCTGTTAGGGGAGAAAAACGCATAACATGATCTTCAATACAGGTCGAGCATGGAAAGAGGCTGGTGAGAGTTTTGCTCGTCAAAATAAACTCACCGAGTCCGGGACGTAGAAGATGCTGCGGATGTTGAGCGGGGCGTCGGCGCGGTAGTGCAGCGTGTAGCGAGGCTTGTCGTAGGCCTGAGCGACGTAGCGGTAGAACTCCTCGTGCTGCCAGTCGCTAATCTCCTTCGGCTCCATCATCCACAAGGCCTGATGGGAGACAAGAGGCCACACAGCAATTCATTTAGAAAGAAAAGATCCCACGGACATAAATGTCAAAGCATGTGTTGTAGCAGTGATGCACAATAGAGGCACAATATTAACATGTCAGCGAAAGTGAAGTATCATCAATTACAGCAGCCACCCTGGTAGAAAATATTGCACTTAGAATGGTGCCAATGTGTGCAGAAAGGTAGGTCAGTATTGTCTCTATTAGAGAGGCTCACCTGCAGAGTGTTGAGCCTCCGTCCGTTCAGGAAGATGGGGAAGCCGACGAAGTTGCTGTACTTCGTTACAACCTCTGAAAGAGACACAGCTCGTGAGCACATGGGAGTGATGCTACACGAACGCGTTTTATCGCTCCGGCAGTCATACCTTTCACTCTGTCCTCAGAGGAAAACTCCTTGCAGTCGTCTTTGAAGTGCAGCACGATCTTTGTTCCCCGTTGAACGCCGCTGGCTTCGGCGATCTCAAAAACCCCAGAGCTGACGGAGACAGAAGAATGTGCGATTATCACACTTGGTTGTAGTCACTACGCAGAACTCTTTGTTCTGAAACGTCGATCAACCCTCCCTCCTTCTCACCCATCTGAGGACCACTTGTATCCCGGCGCGTCAGGCTCGGCGGACCGAGAGTAGACTTCAACGCGGTCGGCCACCATGAAGGCAGAGTAGAACCCCACCCCGAACTGACCGATAATGGTGCTGCTGGCCTCCGCCTGGTTCTGCAGGGCGTCCAAAAAGGCCTGCGGTGTGACGAAGAGAGGAACAGAATGAGGAGGATACATTATAGATAAAAGTCAAGTGCGACATTCATAGATATATAAACACACGAGTCTTTGAAAGATCACCTTGGATCCGGAACGCGCGATGGTCCCCAGGTTGGCTACCAGCTCCTCCTGGTTCATCCCCACTCCTGTGTCCTGTTAGGAGGACAGAGACTCGTCACTCATTGAAATCACTATAGCATGTTGTACAATATTCATCCACCAGGTGGCGTCTATATCAACATCACACAAGGAGCCAGAGTTCACCAGAAGCCCTTTTTATCGGAATCCTTCATTAACTGACAGATCAGCACACTGAGGACGAACTACCATAACTTTAAGTAAGTCAAGTCAAGAGAGGGGCGCCGCTGGAGAAGGAGTGCATGTACTCTGAGTTTTTGTTTTAAGATGTACCACACTATGACCTTTATGTGACATATTACTCTGTTCTTTGTCAGTTAAACTCATTTTCTTCCTTTGTTTGTGATTCAACATAAAGAACCAATAATCAGCAGCTTCATTCTATGCTGTAACATTCATGGGGTGCTTTGCAATGACCGCTTATAGTTGAATGAGCGTGAAAGGGTGCGATATAACACATTGTGATTATTTTATTCTACAATCTTGTATCCCAATTTCTGCCAGACTAGTGAAGGCCTAGACATATATGTTAGCTCCATTCTTCTTCTTTAGAATAGTATTAGTTGGTTGATACAGAGGAAATAGTAAAATGATGATTACTGCTGTTAGCTCCAGAAACTCATCCCAAAATCAGGCAGAGAACAATGGAAACAAAAGCAGAACCCACAAAGCAGTTTCTAAATTTTTGCTTTACTTTTAAATACTTCCACGGTTCTATTTTGCATCTAATTACAATAAATACACAACATTTTGTAGAGAATAACATTTATTAAAATAAGGAGCATTCTTATTTTAAGTTGTTTTTAAAACAACTTTTTCTGTTTTTCTTTCTTTTGGGTCAATGCAGCATTTTTATGCTGCGTAATATATTGGATGAATGTAAAAGTGTGTATTTCATGGTGTTGAAAAAAACGGTGACATATTTTTATATTGTGTCCACGCAGTGTCTATAATGCTGCTTGTTTAACTGAAAAAGGATAACACCAATCAAACATATTTCATGCAGACTGCACATGTGACTCAGTCTTGGGTGGGTATATATATATATATATATATATATATATATATATATATATACACACACAGTATATAATATATATACCTGAATGGTGAAGGTTCCCTTGGCACCATCGGTCTGAAGGTGGATCTCCATCTGAGCAGTTTCTCCGCCTGCTGTCATCAGTTTATGGCGCAGTTTTTCCAGAGCGTCACTGCCGTTGGAGATCAACTCCCTGATGAACACCTGGTGGGACGTGGAAGAGGAGAAAAGTTATAGTCTCACTCACTCACTCACTCACACTCACACACACACACACACACACACACACACCTCTTTCTCCGAGTACAAGGACCTGGCAACAATGTCCAAAAGCTTTTTCGTCTCAGCCTTAAATTCATGTTTGGACAGGCTACCTGCAGGGTTCAGGGGAAATAGCAAGATTCAGATCATCTTAAATCTAACAAATGATCAGCTTCACCCTGACATCAAAGCAGAAGTGTGTCTGCAGCACCTTGAACAGACTCCGTATCACTGATGATGGTGTGCAGAGGCTCCTCTTCGGGCTCTTTCTCTGGCTCTTTCTCGGCCTCCTGGGTGCTGTAGTACGACTGTTGGCTGAAGCCGAGGCAGGACCGCTGGGAGCTCCACACTCCGGGCCGACTGCTCCACCTCTGCTGCTGCTGTCCAACCTGCAGGTCTGAGGACACCAGGAGTCAACTGCTTGGGCTGAAAGCTGCGGCATTGACATGTTTCCAGCTAGCCGGCTAAGCTAACAAACACAGCTTACCTCCAGTGAGGGAGCGCGAGGTAATTCCGCTGCTCAGCCCTCGTGCACAAACCGTTAGTCGTGAGTTGACCCTCTGAGAGGAACCCAAGGCGAACCGAGCTAGCGCGAGGCAACGGGACATGATGACAGAGGGGGGGACGAGAAGAGGAGACAGCTCGATTGACCGTGGAACACACGCCGGGACGAGCGCACTACAGTTAGGACCCGTGACTTGCGCCTTGTGATGACGTCAGTGGGGGCGTCCATTACACTGCCTGATGAAAAGCGGAAATGACTGTTGATTTGTAAATGATCTCATGTATAAAAGTACTTTAAGTGCACGGTTTAGGTTCGTCGATATGTGTGGAAAAACCCGTAGTAATACCGTAAGTATTTATATAGTCTTATTTTGTACCCTCCATTTTTTGAGGTTGTCATTTCAGTTCTTAATTTGCCCGTCAAGGTCAAACTGTTAATTAGGATAAACAAATAAAAATATGAAAATATCCCAATACATTAGGACTATATATGTATTTTGATATGATTAATTGCTGGGAGTAATTGTGCCAAACAAAAAATGTTAAACGTTCGTTCGATGGTTCCAGCTTCTCAAATGTGGAAGTTGGAGCATTTCCTTCAAAATCATCACTTTGAACTCTAGGAAACTGATTTTTACTTTTTCTAGTATTGTATACACTGAATGACTGAATCAAATAATTTAGATTCATCTGCAGATTCATTTATAATTAAAACTCTTACCAGAACAGTTCTTTCCAAACAGAAACATAAAAAGCAGAGTCTGTGGCACACAGGTTTATTTAACAATATGGTATATAAGTACGAAATGAGCCATTTGAACCAGTTTGTACAGTGATTTCATTCTTATTTTCTGCATATTTACAGTACTGTCTAGCTGCATGATTTACATTAGAGAATAGTTCATCAATTCAAGTTTAATGCAATAGAGAAAATGATGCACAAAACCCTCTCTGAACACAAATCAGCAGTCAAACAAGTTAATTTCCCACCACAGGCAAAAGAGGTTCAGGACTTGATGAAAATTTCTTTTGACCGAGGGAAAGACGAAGCAAGACAAATACTGGGCCCAGGCCTAAAAAGAACATTCCGGCACCTGTGAACATTAACAAGCTTCAAGACAGGTTTCTCTTACACCTGCCTTCTGTGTTTGGGTGTGTGCAATAGTTCCTAGATCTATACAAATACATTTATCTCCCATAGACTCTGCAAACAGGAAAGAAATTAAGGCTTTCCCAAAGGCAGTCCTTTTGAAAAATGGCATATTAGAATAAATTATCCAGGAACAGAGAAACTGAGCAAGAGGTGAAACCTGGCAAAAACAATTCCCAGACAAAATAATTTTACAGTCTTCTCAACACAAATACCATATTAATCTGCAAAGGTACAAAAAAAAAAAAATAATTGAATAATAAAATGAAATATTTTTTGTTTTGAGAAGTTTTGTTTAAAAAAAGTCAATACCAGAGCATAACAAATGAAAAACAAATTAAAACACCAAGACCAGGGCAAATTCTTGCATGGCTGGTCTGAACCAAAAAATATATTCTTTGTGTCTTTGTTGTCTTCTTTTTAACAGCAAGTATTAAATCACTCTCACTGTGTTGGAAGAAAAAGCAGTCCCTTGGTTTAAGGAAAGTTCACAGTCTGTAGGCCTCGTATGACTCATTTGTTTGTATTTCTTTTAGCTTTTTACACCAGCAAGTACAAAAAAATTCTCAGCTGAAAACAGAACAAGGCCTTTCTTCTGTCCCAAAATGCTACAATCCTTCAACAAATTTCTCCAGCGTGTCTCCCGTCGTGTCACCCACCATACCCATGTCATTACTCAACCCCCCTCTGTTTGGTGTGTTGAGTTGCGGGAGCATGGCACTCTGCTCCGGTGTTCCCATGTGTCCCTGCTCCATGGACCCCGACATTGGGCCTCCAAGGCTGGGGTGGGGAGAGCTGGAGTGGAGGGCACCGTGTTGAGGTGAGGGCTGGAGCTGTATCCTCGGGGATGGACTGGAATGCGGGGGCTGCTGTGAAGGCGGACGGGGCGATTGCACTGGGGCTGGGGAGCGTACTTGGTTTCCCAGGGTGTTTGCCATTGTCTTGCCAGGTAAGTGAGCTCCTCCCTGGGCTTGGCTTTGGAGCATGTGAGGCTGTGGACTCATCGAGTTAGCCTGTGCTGGAGAGCCCATCTGCTGCTTTAACATCTGCTGCTGCTGTTGCTGAAGCATGCGCTGCTGGATAAGGTTCTGGGGCCCATCCATGCCCATGCCAGGTTGACCCATTTGAGATGTGGGAGGGAGCTGTCCCATAGGCCCCCCACCACCTTGCATAGCCATTTGCTGCTGCATACGGAGCTGGGAGTAGCTTGCTGGCCCTGTCTGCTGTTGGGGGAACTGACCGTGGCCCTGAGGCATGCCTCCCTGCTGCTGCTGCTGCTGCTGCTGCTGCTGCTGCTGCATCTGCTGCATCCTGAGCAGCTGCTGTCTGCGGTACAGTTGGGGATTGCCGTTTTGAGCAGCATTCATCATCTGGCCTTGGGGGCCCATGGTTGCCATGCCCTGGGGCCCTGCCTGCTGAGGAGGCTGCTGCTGCTGCTGAGGTGCCATCACTGGCCTCTGCACTTGGTTTGCCATGGCTGCCATGGCCTGCATTCCTGCCTGAGACCCCAGCATGGCCTGTGCGCTCTGCTGCTGTTGCTGCGGCTGGGTGGCCTGGTACTTTGCTGTCCTCTGTTTAATGAAAGCGGCCATGAGGTGGGGATTGGACTTGAGGATGTTGAGGACCTGCTGTTGCTGCTGTGGGGAGCTGGGAGATTTGAGAGTGCGCAGTAATTCCTGCAGGGCACTCGGCGCAATGTTACCAGGAATCCCTCGTGGCATGTTTTGCTGCTGTGGTGTCATGCCTTGCTGTGAGGGCCCCTGTGGAGGCATGACCCCAGTCATTTGGAGACCTTGTTGCTGGGGCATCATGGGCCTCTGCATGAGCTGGTTCTGCTGGGGTATGGGTGCTCCCTGAGCCTGCTGAGGGCCCATAGGGCCCTGTTGAGGAGGGACCTGTGGCTGATGGCCCTGGGGATTCTGCATCCCTGGACCCCATTGACCCTGCTGCATAGCCTGCATCACCTGGGGGCCCCGTGGCCCCTGCATCATCTGCATCTGACCCTGCATGGGCCCCATCATTCGAGGGTGGTTCATGGGCATCCCATTCATGGTATAATTCTGTTGTTGTTGCTGCTGTTGATGTTGTTGCTGTTGATGTTGTTTCGCCTTGGCGACCATCTCGATCTGTCTTGCCACCTTAAGGGCTGCCAGCAGGGGCTGCTGCTGTTGTTGTTGTTGTTGCTGCTGCTGTTGTTGTTGTTGTTGCTGCTGCTGTTGTTGTTGTTGTTGCTGCTGCTGTTGCTGCTGCTGCTGCTGCTGCTGCTGCTGTTGCTGCTGCTGCTGTTGCTGCTGCTGCTGCTGCTGTTGCTGCTGCTGCTGTTGAGGATGCTGCTGCTGCTGTTGTTGAGGATGCTGCTGCTGTTGTTGAGGATGCTGCTGCTGTTGTTGAGGATGCTGCTGCTGTTGTTGAGGATGCTGCTGAGGATGCTGTTGATGGGGCATGTTAGGCAGAGGTGACTGTTGCTGATGAAGAGGGGATGACTGAGGCCCTGGTTTGCCCTGCGGCACCGGTGTTGGGGGCTGGCTGCTGCGGCCATTGTTGGGGAAGCCTTGGGCCATATTGGCAGGGTTTGGTGGCTGCTGTTGTTGGGGCTGGTTGGGCATGGGCTGGGGTGTCTGCGGTGTATTAGGCTGCTGCACAGAGTTGGGGGTGTCGGGGCCAGCTGAGGTAGGTGGAGATGGCATGGGCATACCCCTTCCAGCCATGGTGGCCATCCTCCGGCGCATCATTTGAGCCTGCTGGAGCCTGTGCTGCAGCTGCTGTTGACGGAGTTTGTGCTTGATGTTGAGGCAGAAGGGAACAGGACACTTGTTCTCCTGACAGTGCTTCGCGTGATAACAACACAAAGCGATGAGTTGCTTGCACACAGGGCAGCCACCATTGGTCTTGCGCTTGCAGCCTTTGGTGTGTTGAACCACCCTCTTCATCTTCTGGCATGAAGGAAGAGAGCAGTTGGCATTGCGGCACTGGCAGGCATGGACCAGGGACTGGATGCAGCGCTGGATGCTGAGACGGCGGCTCTCCTGAGGGCTCTTGGAGGCCTCTCCACCCGCACCGTTGCTGTCATCGTCTAGACCAAGGCCCCACTTAACCATATGGTGCTCGTGGCCCTTAGCGTTGTAGCAGTTAATGCATAGGTCATAGTCCTGATGAAAGTTAAGGAAGACCACGTTAAGGTTAACATTTAATTCAGAACTAATACAGACAAAAATTTCAAAAGATATAGGTAGTGTCCTTATTCCTACCTCACAGACGGTGCAGTGCCAGCGAGTCTCTACGTGGTGCTTGCACTCATTGCAGGTGTACACAAAGCGGTCCTGGCCTTGGTTGTGCAGCTCCACCAACATGCACATCGTGCTCCATTTGCATCTTCTCAGTGAGCTGAACTCCCAGTGCTTGTCCCTGGCCAAAGTCAGAAAGGCATCCCGACCATCCATCAGGTCACAGGTCAACAGGGGGTCGGGGTCCATAATGGGTGGCAGGGTGTTAATGACTGGCCCGGCATGGAGGTGGATTACAAAAAACACCTGGTAGTAGAAAAGGAGGAGAAATGTGTTAGTTGTAAGGACAAAGTCTCAGTCCATCCCATGTAGGTGGTCCCTCCTACATGGGATTTAAGTATCTGCACTGCTCTAAAGCCAATGGGTTCTGTTGTGTGCTGGGGTACTTTGGTGCCTAGATGTACCTCTAAGATGTGCATTAATGAGAAAGAACCTGTTCTGTGCAACTATTTGGTCACCTATTAAACCTACCAGCTTCGCTTAAAAGTATCAAGTGCTGTAATGTTGCATGAAAGTGGATTGATTCAGTCGTTCGGGTTTCTCACCTCCTTATGTTTCTCCATGGTGGCGTAGAGCTTCTGGGACAGGTCATTGGCTACATTCGGCATCCCAGGCTTTTTCTTATTGGCTCGGCTGACGCTGCTCTTGTTTTTGTTGGTTTTCTTGTTATTCTTCTTTTTGGCATTTTTGCTGTCAGCTTGTGCCCCCTTGAAATAGATGGACACGAAGGTTCAGAGAGACAAGATGAGGTTACGCAATTAAGTTCAGTGGTTACACAATGCCTGAATGACTGCTGAAAGCTTTTATATAATGAGGACTTGAGGATGATAAAATCTGGGTTGAAACAGAAGCCCAAGCACCAGGCTGTTGATTTTTGCATAATCCTTTCCTTTCATAAAAACCCATTTCAACATGTTCAAGCCGCTTGTCCATCTAACTCACCTCTGGTGTCTCACAGGAGGCCGTGTTCTCCTCCTTCTTCCTCTCTTCCTCCTCCTGCTGCAGCTCCTTGATGCTCTCCTCCAGCACATTGGGCCAAAAGTCGCCCTCAAAGTACGGCAGCTCATTGGCACTGGTCAGCCGGTCTTCGGTTGCCTGTTTGAAAATGTCCTGAACCCAAATGCACAAGACTTCCATCAGGCAAGATAGTAACACAACTCTTAAAGGAAATGTCTGGAAGTTTCATAAAGTACAATTTAAAACTTTCAGCAGCCTTTTACGACCAATTCCAAAGGTAAAATAAACATGTCAGTCCTAAAGCATACAGTAAAGATTAGCCTAAGCTATAGATTGTTTTAGGGTTGTAGTTTCTGTTCTCCTACTTTTTACAATAAACTATAGCAAACACAAGGGGGAGCCCTCCTTTACTGCACACGTTTGGACCGGACACAGCGACATGCTGATAACTTCTGTTTGTCTCCTTGGCAGAGACTGAAAGGATGGTTCAAAGCATATTAATAATATGATTTTGAAAAGGGCCTTATAGACAATACTATTGGAATACTTAAAAACAGTCTATGTCAATATGTCAAGTAAAGTTTAACTCTAATCTAATCCCATTAGGCTTTTTTGTGTGTTAGTTGAAAGATGAAAATCATTAGATTAGACCACTTCAAAGCAAAATGTTTTCCTGTTCTGCTTTTAGGAAATCTGATTACGTCTTTTCTTTCTGTAGCTGTTACAGAATACAGTTACCCTTTTTTGAATCATAATTACGAAGCACCGCTCCATGTATTCCATTTACTTCCCACGGCTGCTCATCATTCAGACATGTGAGACAGTGAACCGCCATCTCTTTATGAAAGAATCCGGTTAATACGATGATATCAAGCAACAGTAAACAAACTAAATCATCGCCTACCCACCAACAGTAAACAGAAAGGATCAAGATAACACTGTATGCATACTAAACCAAAATAATATGATAATCAGCGTGACATTTAAAATAAATCTAATCTATACAGTAATATGGTAAGGCATCCGACATCCCACTGTAGTCGATGTGATCATTTTCTGACCTTGTAGTCATGCAGGATCCTCTCAGCGAACGCCTTGTCCAGCATCTTTCGGTACCACTCCTGGAGCCTCTTGGGTTTGGGGATCTTCTGGTCAGCAGGGTGGCAGTGAAAAATGTAGTCATCTCCTTCACTGGGTGGGCAGGCCCAGATGTGACCCATCACATACCTGAGGGCAACAAGAGCGTTCAGCCACTTGCAGGAATGATACTTGCAGCATTAGCTTGAAATTGTGTACAGTTACTCTCAACCTACCCCAGTTTCTTCACATACTCCAGGTAGCCGATCAGGATCTCATGGTAAACTGCAGTCCTTAGCGCACGGGGCCTGAAGAAGTGAATACTGTCGAGGTATGATATGTAAACCCGTCTGCAAAGAAAACATGGAGAATTGAATCAAAGAGCAACACACAAAGTACCAAAATAAACTGAGAAAAACATGCATGCGCGATTCTCTCTTTTTTCCCTGTAGTTCTACCTGGTATTTGGAAAGGGGCACTCTGAGCCGTACTCCTGGACATGCATCCCAAAGAAACAAACGTCCACCCCGTCTATTTCCTCAAATGCAAAAAGTGCTTTGGTTCTATAAGGGAAGGTCTCCACCATCTCGCCTGTGTCCACAAACCTATGGGAACAGAGAAGCACAAGTTACAGGGTTTTGTTTTTTGAAAAATCTGCATATTTTACAGCGGGATCATATCCATGGTCAGGTTTTCATGCACGTTTGCTTACTTGGAGATTTAGATTCATACATTTTTAAAGGAAAGCTGATGTGCTAGCAATTGCTTTTCAGAACAAAGACAAAGTACTTTTGTAGTGCATTTATATTATTCCAGCGAGATCTATACGGAGGATGTCTTTATTTACACAATCAAATCTATGAATTAAAAGTGACGATGTGTGGAGGTGTCCTGGTGTGTCCTTTGTTGCACGTCATCCCTCCTCTCTCCCCTACACAGTCTTTATCAAATTAAGGCTATAATGCCCCAAAACAAATGTTACATCTAAAAAAACATTAAATCAATGTTTTGCAAATCACAAGAGGCCCACGTAATCTGCAGGTGAGAACCTTACTTAGACTTCATGCCAGGCTTAATCTCCACATTTTTGTCAGAGCTGGCCACCACTCGCACAAACACCTCGCCGGCCTCAGGATGGTTCTGCCTTTTCAAGTACTTGTTCACTCTGTCCTCGATGTACGTCCCCAACCGGGTGGACTGCAACCCTTTACAAAGGCCAGCGCAAACACAAGAACAAAATGCAATTAATATCAATCCGAGGTGTAAACGTTGAGACTTTAGCGTGATCAAATAAAGGATAATTAAAATCAAATCATCTGTTACGGTTCTTTTACCATTAAACGCAACTTACTTCTGGCTGAAAACCGGTTCTCCTTTCTTGTTTTGCCAGACTTCTTCAGACAGTTGTCACAGATAAAGCTGGAAGAAGAAAGATTACACTGCCGTTTAGAGTCAACACACAGTTACGCTGGCATAAGTGAATACCGAGTAAGAATTCTGTTAAAGTCAATCATGGACTGTATGCTTAAATGGCTGGATAGCCATAGCGAGACTTACCCTGTCGGCCAAATAACATCGTAGTGCAGCACGCATATCTGATGCATCTTTCGCCCGCAGTCCTTACATTCAACAAACCTGGCAAGGACAAATATTTACTTTGTGCTTTCCTTTGCTGAAAGAATAATTACTACCATAACATCAACGAGAGTCAAACTGAACTCTCCCACTACTACTACTCACGGTTCAGGGTCCAACATGTCATTTTTCTTCTTTTCAAACTGCTCTTTTGATATCATGCTGCACAAACAAAAAAGAGATAAAGAGACAACCAAGTTCACGCTTGCTCCTGTGATTGAAACTCCTTTCCACACAAATAAATCAAGAGAAAAATCAGCCTGATAATCTCGCGAGGTGATCATCAGCTGGTGGTCAGCCACCAGGGCCTGGTAACTTACGTCTGTGGCTGTGCCGGGTCATCCCCCAGGGTCACACTGTTGCCCTGGATCTCGTTGAAGCACTTCTCACAGAAGTGATACCTGTCGGCAATAAGGCCATATTTGGGTGAACTGCAGCCAGGACACACAGTAGCAGCACAGGCAAACCGGCGTACAGGTGGCAGAATGCAGAGTAAACGGCGCACGCGGCAACAACCGAAGACGGAGCACGGGCAACGTGCAGACGGAGGGACGCACGCACGCACACACACACGCAGAGGTACATGTTAGTGACACTTGAAATGGTCATGATCCAGCCACTCTCATTCATTCAAACAGAAATGTGGGAAACATGCTCAAATGTTAATAATGGTAATGATTGTCAACAACAAATGAATGTGCTGGAAACTACTGTATGTCTACACGACAGCATTTAACTGGAATATGAAAACATAACAAAAATACTGTTTCACTGCAATACTTTATAACATAAGCAACATGCATTATGAGCAGATGAAGGAATGATATGGTCATGCTGGGGGAGACAAGATGAGGGACAACAAAAAATAAAATGTGAAGGTGTCGGTAAGTGTTCAGTTACCGGACTTAATGTTATTTAAGTCAAGGGGATTTTAGTCCTAATGCTTGAGGAATTTAGATGAAGATTAGAACAATGTAATGAATCCATTCCATTCTCATAAACACTGACTTTTTGTCCTAAACCTCACTTCTCATTTCATAGCGAGTATCTGCAATAATTGAATGGCGTTGCATTGGGATGAATTGAGGTGCAGAAGCAGATTCTGCACAGCAGGGGGAGCTTTGGGGCTGGTTCTTGGGCACAGCAGATATATGAGGACAACACAGGGCCAGATAATGCACAGTCTGCTTGGCCACAATATACAACTCTCAGTGGTGCCTGCGACACCCCTATAAAGGAACGGTAATGTGGATAACGTTGTTGACTTGTATGGCTTTATGTGAGGCGGTATGTTTGGATGTGTTTAATCTTTGAGGATCAAGCTGCACACCTCTCTCTTTATAACTCCTCAGAAGAGTCAAAATTTTACCTGTTCTGGTAGCTGTAGTAGGTGCCGTCCCTGGAAATGGTGCACAACTGTTTGCCATAACAACACAGCGTCTGGGGTGAGAACTCATACTGCGGAAACATGAGAGAGAACATTAACAATCCATAAAGATGAATACAGTAATAAGTACAGTTTTGTGCCCATCTCGTTTGGTCTCACCTTCCTGCCGCAGCAGTAGCCCAAGCCCTGCATGACAGGATCGATCTCTGCTTCAAACACTTCTGCCAGCTTGCTGCAGTACTTGTAGACACGGGATGTTTTACGGTTATACAACCACGCATTGTTGAACATGAGCCACACGTCGTCCACGTACTGCCAAGGCTCCTGGTATTGACCCGTATCCAGCTTGCGCTTGATGGTGGATAAGTCGATGGGATTCTTCACAATGTCAAAGTAGTCCTGTGAAGCACGAGAGACGCATTTGCAGGAATGAGGAAATCATGCTCAACAGTATTTTCTGTGAGTGTTGTAATTTCAGAATGATTGTATGTGTGTGTGTGTGTTGTTGAGGAAACTCACAGGGATGCCTAGTATTGGAGGGTCTACAGGTTGTCTGAAGGGTAGTGACTCTGGGTCTTGCCTGTAGAGGGCCTCAAGTGTTGGCATTAAGGCTTGTCTCAGCTCCTCTGGCTTGAAAACTGGACGGACAATAACAATGTTATATGACGCAAACACAAACAGAATATGGGAGTCGGCAAATACAAGATTGTAGTTCATTATACACACACTCTATATAAATAAAAATAATACATTTACTTGATATTGAGATACATTATTTTAGCTCAAAATGTAATACCGCAACATATTATGACACACTTGATATACACAGGAGTTCTGTGTTCTTACTCTTTTTTCGGTTCTGAGTGTTGGAGGTGGCTGATGTGCCGTTGGCCCCACTTTCCTCCTCTTCTTTGGGTTCTGTCTTCATCTCCGGCTTCTTTTCCTCAGTGTCCATTGGTTCCTGCTTTGGCTGTGCTGCATCTGGCTCCTCCTTCTTCACCAGCATCGGTTTGATGTCATCATCCTGCTACATGAACACAATGGTTTAATCAGTTATCCTACCGTGGTGAGTCAGGAAACAATCAAGTATTTAATGCATTTCATTTTTTTAATTCTTTCTTTTAAATTTTTCGAGGCACTACCACAAGTCAGATTTACTTCTTTGGACATGAAATTTGAGCAGGGTTAGATGTGCTGGACTGCGTTTACAATAACAGGAGATCAAACAGCAAATGGCTTCTAGTCTGACCTACAGTAGATGCAAGATTGCTTCTTTTTATATTCTTTCTGTTAGTAAATGATAAATTAAGAACATACCTCCATTTTTATATCTTGCTGCTTCTTCCCAGACTTGCCGCCTCCGTCATCTTCTTCGTCTTTGACTTCAGGTTTGGCTTCAGCGCTGCTCTTGTCCGGCAGGGCCTGCTGGGAGTTCAGCTCAGCCACAGAAGCTGGGGTGGGCACTCTGTTATCTACACTCGCCGCTGCCTGGGACAACTGTAAGGAGAGGATGAAGAGAAAATCTTACCACAATGCTGATAATATATATAAATCAAGTCATAATGATCAATAAGCACATTGAGGATCGACTGCGAGTGATCCCCCATAGTTCGTTTTACGTGACAACCAGTATCTCACCGGTGTGCTGGGGTGCTGCGCCTGCACTGAGGTGGGCTGCTGCATTTGGCTGTGGGGTTCTGTCTGCGGCTGCAGGGGTGTGATAGGCTGGGAGGGGTCAGGTGTGCCCTTGGCTGAGGGGGGGCCAGGGAGGCTACCGGGCATGTGGGTTGGGGTGGAGGAGGGCCCACCCGTGGAGGCGGGGGTAGTGGGTCGCGGTGGCATCTGGGCCTGTGCAGAAGCATGGTGCTGCTGCTGCTGCTGCAGCTGCAGGCTGGCGGAGGCATTGGGTGGAGGTGTAGTGCCAAGGGAAGGCTGGGCTGAAGGGCCACAGGGCAGCTGGGAGCCAAGGGATCCCAATGCATTCAGAGGGAGGTTAGAGTTCTGTGACTGCTGGGACAAAGAGGGATGCGCGGTGAGCATACCAATACACACCACTAATTAAGCAGGCAACATGCTGACACTCATAAGGCCACGTTCAGACAGAAAAATGCAGGGAGCCCTGAAAACGCTAGGAGCGTAAAGCACAGCAGAAATATCCTCACCTGTGTGACAGCAGCCTGCGTTATGGGCTGACCCAAGCCTACATTCACATTCATAGCTCCACCTGCAGCAGCAGTGAACTGGCCCTGTTGCAGGAACTGGCCCTGGTTGGCTGGCTGCGCTACCATGTTATTAGCATGACTACCCATCATTCCTTGAGTCTGAGGCATCCTTGACGGAGACATACCCATCTAAAAGGAAGACAAGAGAGATGGAACGGATAAAATCATTATGGCAGCAGGCTACTAATATTGAACGCCAAGTAGAATAAAATGAATGGAATGCAGCATGCATGCACGCTATTACTACAGTGGTTTTCTAAAGGTTATGTGGTGTAAATCCCAAATAAACAATGTGCTGAATCAAAACACAGCTCTTGGCTCAGCCATGCCAAGTTTACATTACAGATTGCTGCGGCTGGTTGATAAATTGATCAGGACCTGTGTCGACCACATGCAGCAAATTTCAGACTAAGAAATGAACAATCAGTGAAATAGCGTGGGGCATTTGATAGTCAAGAGGAGCAAAAGGTGGAGGAAAGAGCCAGAGAATGGAGCAGGAACTGAACAAACTGTAAGCAAAACAAACATTGTGAAAAAAGCTGGAAAATGAGAGAAACATTTTTGTATAAAAGCAGGGAGACAGAGGAGAAAGATCTAACCGCTGGGACGGAGCTCATGTTCATCTGCTGTGGATGGTTCATGGGGGAGGGAGCACGCGCTCCCATGGGTGCCTGAGACATCTGCGCATTCTGCATTGCCATTGGGTTAAACTGATTGATTCCTGTGGGAACAGATACACACAATTATATACTTGTTTATCATACTTAGGAGTCGTAATTTAATAATCCGTGTCCTACTGGGCTGGCAAAGGTACTGAACCAGCTCACTTTAACATCGGAGTTCTGACAAATGTATTCAGCTTTAACTGATTAAACAATCGGGTGTTGAAAGGCTCATCAATTTGCTGTACAACATTTATCAATACATTTGAAACAATAAGAACTAGGAGGGTTAGCCAAAGGACATGTGGATTTATTTTCTCTGTAAACAACTGCTAAAAAAAGCAAACGGCAAACACCAACCTTGGGGCACCTGCATACGGTTCATTATCTGATTTGGCATGTTGGGCATAGGCACAGGTCCATCTGAGAGAAGACAGGACAAAACAGTTTTCATTTATAAGTTGCTATCAGTAACAGAAATGCTGTGTTCTTTTATCAACTGAGGACTGCAGAATACTTCGTCAGTATTCTTATCTTCCCCCTTTTGTATTTTGTCACCCAGAGTGTAGAGAGTTTGGCTACTAACTGGGAGACCGGACGCCCTGTCCTGGGCCCATGGCGTTGGGCTGAGCCATTCCAGGCTGCTGAGGCCCAGCTGTGCCCACCATGCCAGGCTGTTTCTGGAGCCGTGAGCGCCGCTTCTCCTCCAACTCCTTCTGGATTTTGTAGATTTTCTCTGCCAGGAAGTGGTAATACTCATCCTAGTAACAAGACAGGATGAAATAAAAGGTAAACAAAAAGAATAATACAAGTGTTTCTTAGTCTCTGGTACAGATAAAAATGATCTGCTCATCTCAAGAGAAAGGTCTTAGAAATGAAAAATAAAAAGTAGCCAAAGATGCCTTTCATCACTCCGGTGGTAATGGTATGATAATGTATTATATTAGTTACCCTGCTGTTAGCGGACTCGTACATGTCACCCTCAACCTTGCGCGCATACGCCACCAGGTTCTCCATTCTTCGGTCCTTCAACGCTGCAGGGTCTGGGGTGGGGAATATGGCTTGTACACTGAAGAAAGACAGCAGAGAAGTACAAAACTCAGCAACAGTTTGGAGAGCAAGAACGTCTTTCTCCGTTTTCATATGACCAAACTCGAGTATTTAGAATACAGCCGTTTCATTTTTTTGCACTTACAGTTTGTGCACCAGGTGGGTGCGCAGGTCCTGAGTGACGTGTTCGTGCCAGGCCTTCCTTACCCCCGAAGAAGAGAGAGGGGTGGCAGTGGGCAGGTTTCCCATGCCTCCCACTACTGACCCATCTGGCATCAGCTGACTATAAGACCGAGAAAGAAACAATTACTTCCAAAATAATGCTTCTACAAATCCTTTCATTAATAATACCATGTGACTGTAAATTGTAATTTACATTGTTTAAAACATTTCTGACAGAGAGCAGATTGAGATCATGGATGATTATTTGTCAACAGCAGATGCACTGGATGTTGTTCTGGTCTATAAATTAAATAAATGTCCGCTACATCACATAAGGATCATGCCAGCAAGGGCCGTGTGTTTTGTGTGACATATTAAGGACTCACTTGTTGAGTGCGGATGGTAGAGAGGAGTCAGAGTGCATGCCAGCCTGGTCTGAAGAGGGGACACCCAGGCCTCCTGCCATCTGGTTCATCTGATTAGTGCCTAATAAACACACATAGTCTTTTACAAGAAAATGACGGAGCAACAGATTTATAGTATTGTTATCTTTTGTATGAATTGGAAGTGAAGTCCAATCGATTTGGTACCTAGTGGGTTCAGACTTCGCAGGTGCTGGGGGCCCTGGGGATTTTGCTGAGAGGGTCCCTGTCCCTGTCCCTGGGCAGGGGACTGGTTCCCGTACGGCAGGCCAAGGGCAGCATAGGCCCTCTGCATAGAGCTGGGGTCGATGTGTGTGGCAGCACTGTTGATGGCTGTGGCACTGGGCTGGCCAGGCCCCACTGTACTGATAGCGTTCTGCAGGCTAGCTCCAGGAGAATTTAGCATGGCTGGAGGGAGAAGACAAGGAAATATAAATAAATAGTTTGGCAATATTAAATAATGCATTTAATTAAAACACTGCCATAATTGAGAAGAACCTGCTGCTTCCAGTGTTTCATAATTTCTAAACATGAATATAAGGCATGAAACACAAATAATTTACATAAATAATCAGAATCAGAATCAGTATGTGGACACATAGAAGGATTTTTTTTGTTTTTTGTTTATATCAATGTATATACACAAAAGTAGATAATCAACCACAACAAGAACAAAGCTAAACAAGGTAAACATAAATATTTGACTATATACATTTATATATATTTGTTTTTTATCTATGTTTTATATCTATGCAAAACAACATCTTCCTGAGCTGCTTCCCTCAATCTACAATCCCCGCACTGCTCCCTGCTGTGTTGATTGCTGACAGGGAGCACGCTGCCTCTGTGGGGATTTAAATCTGTCATAGGCCCTTTTAACCAATCAGAGAGCATGCTGTCCCAAGACCCTGCCCCTACTGATAGCAGGGCCATGTAGCCCCTCCCCCGGGTGTCAGATTACAGGTCCAGCCTTTCTAGAGGAATCCTCTCACTGTTTGAGCTCTCGTCAGTACAGCGCTTCGGCGGAGACACACAGCCTGCAGGGGGCAGCACTTCACACACCACACACACTCGCTGCAGAGTGACAACTGCCTTGTTGAACAGTTTACAAGCTTACAGATTTATAAAATGATATCTTAGCATGATATTTGTTCACTACTAACTTGTAACCCATTTTTCTTTGGATGTATAAATGCTGGAGTTACTCACGTTGCTGATTCCTTTTGTCACTCGCGTTCTTTAAAGGCAGGCAGACCGGACAGTCGTGCCGCGTGCAGTTCTTCCAGTGGGAGATGATCTGCCTGGAGGATGCACAGTGAGCCACTGGGGAGAAATAAAAGTGAAAAAGAGACGGAGTGAGGTGTGGTAATTCAGGAATTCAGCACTAATGGACAATTTAAAAGTTAAGGCTATAAATACAGACTGAAACATTGAATTCATACTACGCCACAATATATACAAATAAAACTGGTGTCAACTCAGTAAAGAACAATATACTAAGTGGTTAATCCCAGCACCACGTCAACCTCAAATACAGTGCATTGGAAAAAAAGAAAAGAAATATTGAATAGAAGTTAAACTAAGTCAAGAACATTAATCATTTTAAACACTATAACACCTCCTGTCTAACAACAAAGCAATGTGGTTGTTAACTTATAGGGGATGCAAATTTCACGAAACTTCCTTAACCAGTCGTCAGACACATATAGATCAATAAATCATTTTACGAAGGACAAGATTGGCGAGCGGTTATATGAAGCGCTGAAGGCGACAGGCGCTTTAGGCAGCAACAAGTCATCAACACCTTTTGCTGAGCTGTTCCTGTGGTGTGTAAAGCTGCTGAATCACAGGCTCTGATTATGGTTGCTCATAACAGTTAAAACATCTGTATATTAATCATAACTGGGTCAATATCTTGAACATACTATCTCAGTGATTAATAGACAAGAGACAGATATATGCTACGATGAGTGACACATTTTCAGTTCACACATTTTCAGTTCGCACATTGTGGTCACACAGGTGAGCACATTCATATCACTTTCACTCACCCTGGCAGGACTTGCCGGCCTGGCAGTGGGTCATGTGGTTGAGGACGTTCTTCATGGTGCGGCAATGGGGCAGAGTGCAGGCCCTCACCTCCCCGTTGGCCTGCTCCCGCCGCTGGCACTTATGTGCGTGGAGCAACAGGACCAGCTGCTGCTGAATGAGTTTGCGCTTCTCGGGGTCCGCCGTCGGGCCCGTTGAGACGCCGCCGGCCCCGGGGACCATGCCCACCGACGCTACCTGCTGCTGCATCTGGGACTGATCGACATACAAGCACAGGTTAGGTACGGACCAGAATAATCACACTTTCCTCATTTTAGACTTCTGGGTTTAAAGTAGAAATAAAAAAATAAACCAATAATGAGAATACCTTGATGTAGGGGAGGGGCTTAAAATAAATAACGGAATGAAAATGAAGACAACAGAGAAGAAAGAGACAAGATGGGAAGTTATAATATAAAAGCTAAAGACGTAAAAGAAAATATGAGTGAAACCACAACGGTAAACGAGGAAAATCAAATCTAAGTATTAACTTTCTCAAAATTGATGGGCTGGCATTTCCTGCCTGTATTAGGCCCATTTCCCGTCCTTCACACATATCTGCATAGCTCCAGGCTCTGTTTTACAAAGCAAGGAAGCAATATACACAAATGGTTGTAGCACTATCTTATCACACAAGCTGAAGCAGACAATGTGTAGGGGCTGTGTGAAGTTTAGGCCTGACTGAGGGCTTAAGTAAGCAGGGTTAGTATTAGAGATGCACCGATATGAATTTTCTTAGCCGTTATCCTTTTACTTTGTTATTGTCATCTATAGTGGGTATTTGCTTAAAACACACAATTCAAATGATTAAGAAATAAAATAAGATGCTTAGAGCGAACGTTAGTGTAAGGAAGATAAACGAGTCATAATCCCTCTCCAACATCTAATATCTATTTTATATTGCTGTGAAAACATCTCCTTCAATCAACTGAATTGATTTAAGTTTCTCGCCAAAAATTACATTTTACAAGATTGGCTCGATAGCACGGCTAGCACGTTAGCTGACGTTAGCATGGTACAAGTATTTTATAGCAGGAGTATGTTTACAGTATCAATGCACCTCCACACGTTTTTGCTCTACATCTTCCCCTCACTGACAAGTGCAACACATTGATATTGTGGACACGGATCCATATTCCCATAAAACGAAACGGCACGGCGACAGATATAAGATTCAGGCGACACTCACCAGGTTTGGCACACTCCCAGCTCCCTTCAGCTCTGTAGGGAATTGGGGCAGGTTGTTGGAAAGGGCCGTCTTGTTCTGGAGTTGTTGGGCGTTGACCCCCGCTGCCCCCATCTGCTGCACCCCAGCCTGACCGTACTGCTGGCCAAATGGGCCTCCTGACATCCCCATCTTTAGTAGACAATCAGGACAGAGAGAGGTCAGACTATTTGCACACCGTGCAGCATACCATCACAGCACTTCTACCTGAACTGAGACGCTTTGTGTGAATGCAAACACACAGTACACATCCATCAAAAATAATGAGGCGTCCAAATATTATTACGTGTTATTGTCCTATGTGGGACATACAACTGTGGAAGCATTGAAACGCTTTTAGGAAAGGGATTTGGGCGTTTCATTTTATGATAAATGGGCTTAAATTTGTCTTAATCTGTACCGAGGATCAATGTGTGTATTTGTTATTTTATTTATTTATATAAATTTTATTTCTACGAAGCCACATTATTGATTTAATGAACTGCTGGTCATCCCTCTTGTTCTTGGGGGAGGGAGCAATAGGGACAAATATAACACGCATTTGTGCACCGATTGTTTTCCATACTGAAAAATAAAAAATTGCGAGTCATAAAAAAAAACACCTTAAAACTACTTAACATCTCCTGAAAAAAATGGATTCCAAAAAGTAAAATAAATGTTCACATCTACAGAAAATCTTTAGGAAATTAATAATTTTTATTTCACAATCAACCCAGGTAATAGTTTCTTCTCAGGCCCTCAGGAGTAGTCCATTCCAATGGCCTCAGCGTGCATCTGTCTGCTGCTTTGCTTCGCGGAGGTTCCCAACAGCCAGTAGTGCTCAGGCAGACCGAGGAAGCCCAGCCCAGCAGAGAAAGAGAAGGGAGGGGACACACGGAGCGGAAGATCAGCTTGCTCAACAGCTGAGCAGAGAGCGCTGCACTGCTGCCTGCCCCTCCCCCCTCCGCTGCACACAAACACACAGATGCCGGCCTCCCGGCTCCCTCCCATTCACACATGAGCACGGTGTCATCCTCCTCTCTCACACACGGGTTCTCCCACTCGACGGTCCGCACTTACTACAGGAGTGTCACAAGGGAAGAGGACGGCACAGTCACACAGTAAGGCCTCCAGCGTTTCCCTTCTTTTTTTTTTTTAAACATGTCCTTTTCGGTTCCTTCCTCTCTCACCTGCCCCCCCCCCCACAAAAACAGCTCCATTATCAAAGGCCACGGGGGCCCAGAATGAGACGTTATATGTTCGGTAAAGAGAAGAAAAAGGAGTTGAGGGAAAAAAAGAGTGAATACTAGCACACAAAGATGGTGGAAGAGAAAGCAAAGAGAAAACAATGGGCATCAACAAAAACATGTGAAACCAGAAATCCACCTGTACATCATTTCTATCTCCTGACTAGGAGTGTAAACTAGCGATGAAGTGATTGCTCAATGTCACTTTTAACTTCAATTTGCCACCGTTTTCTAAGCGTGTGCACTTTAAAAAGTAAGGGCAAAAACTGTGTGTAGAAGCCTTTTGGTAACCTTAAACTGGCCAGGGATTTTTGAAAGAGACCAATATCCTATTTGCAAAACTCATTGGGGTAAGAAAGCGCAAAGCATCTAAAAGGACATTGCTTTGCTGCAAAACTTGGGTCAGTTTAACATTTTTGCTGTTGCAGCAACACATTATCAGCAGAGTGAAACTAAAGTGTCTCACCAGTCAGTCTAATCCCAGCTCAGGTTTCCTAATCAGTGGATTGGTGAATACTACATCACCACTTATATTCATTCAGGTAACGTCTGTTTTGTTTGTAGAGCCCTGCGTACAGAAATGATCATGGAGGGCTGAAAGTGACAGACCAGGAATACAACATGCCAAGATCAAGTGGAGTCTGTCAACGGTTAACTGAATTCAAACAGACTAATTAATTTTTGTAATTTTCAAACTGCCAACAATTAAATACATTTTTGTTTTATTTGATGCTACATAAGTTAACACCTACAGTGGCAATTCACAATAGTTTGCAATACATTTAAATGTGTTTATAGCACAAACTGTTGACCACATTTGCAAGACCGAGATTAATATTATACAATGAATAAATAAGTTAATTTGAAAATATGAATTGGATTTTTCCATTCAAAAGGCTCTTAAACAAACAGCAACCATCTCCAAACTCTGAACCCCGTATTCTTCCTGAGGCTACAGTCAAGAACTTCCACTGTTGTATCTCTTGCACAAGTCTCGTACTTATATTGGCCAATAAGCAGAAGCAAGACATGGAACAAGAAGAAATGAATGAAACCACCAATAACGGGAATCTGTGACCTGCAAGACAACATCGCCTTAGCTCACCAATATCACTGCAATACCTACAAATATAATAAGAATACATTTTATTTGTACAGCGCATCTTTTGATGATTCCAATCTGATCCAACAGTCCCATTTTCTGTTAGAAATGTTGGATGTTAAGAATAAACCATGTGGCCGTTAACTGACATTTGACTGAGTATTCAGTTTAAAAAAGAAATTCAACCCAGGCAAAGTTGTTGCTATCTTTGGGGCTAACCCCCTTCACTTTAATCAGCAGGTGGCAAGCAGAGACATGGGAACTTAGCTTTGGTCTTCCTGGAGCTGAAGCATTTAATTCACCGACACACCGCCTGTGTGCCTGTTTAATTCACCGACACACCGCCTGTGTGTGTGCGTGCGCGCGCGCACGCACGCACGCACGCACGCACGCACGCACACACGCACACACGCACACACACACACACACACACACACACACACACACACAAAGCTATAACGCTACTGCTAACTTCATGCTCACCGGCCGCCACATACGCGGTGACAACCCTGACAGGGAATGCCGGACAGACACGGGGAAAGTGGCAGCACGTGTCCACGACAATGCACTCAACATTGTGGCCACCAACTCTCGCGGGTTTTGCACGTAAACTGAAGCTGGCGGTAAATGATGGATTCAACCTGTTTGTGCATTGTGTTTTCCGTTGCCGCTGGGCGGCTTGTTAGGCAAATCTAACATCCCCCTCCCACACTTTGGCCCCATGTTTCTCTGAAGGCAGCTATGCACGGTAAATACGACATTCTATCAAACCTCAAACCCAACCCTGGCATCTCAATGTAATGTAAAAGGCATTTGTTTCAGTATTGTATGGAATATAACATACCTCACCAATACACAGGCATACATCAAGCAATTTGTTTTTCTACCACAACATAGACAATATAGGCAGGGCCTCAGCTGTATGGGAAAGGAGGGGCTTGTTTCATGTGGCAATGTCTGTCTAAGTAATCTCAGTGAGAACTAGGGTGCTGGTTTAGCCTTTGTTTCCTGTCAAACCACAAAGCCCCGACAATCTTAGTCACGGGGAAACATATTCTGAAATCGAGCACTTCATAGTAAGTCTTCATAATAAAGTACGTATTTTTCATTCACAAAGCTTAGCTGTAGTATTACCATCACTCAACTGCAGTTTGTTCTCAGATGTGTGAGGCACAGGAATGCGGTAATAAAACACATCATCAGCACTGGTACAAAACTATGTGGTGGGCCGAGTTAGACGCACAGAGACTGATGCACTTGACTACAGAGTCAACCCCCTAAACTGGGTCACTGTTTCCTACGGAAGCTCCAGGTAGAAGAACAAGTCAGTACAAAGTGAGGGGGAGACAACTGACGACAAGCACGCTGTAGGGCTTAGGCAAAGGAAATAAGGCATTCTAGTCCTTCCCCTTGGATGGATGGGCCTCATTCTACCAACACACCAAATGATGTTCTCAAATTTATGCTATATCATCATTTCCAGTAAATACCACAATATTATACTTGTGTTTTCTGTTTAAAAAGTACAAACGTTAGAAGATAGAAAGTACAACTCAGCCAATCACTATTATGAATATTACTACTATGAATATACCGTATTTTCCGCACTATAAGGCGCACTGGATTATAAGGCGCACCTTCAATGAATGGCCTATTTTAGAACTGTTTTTATATATAGGGCGCACCGGATTATAAGGCGCATAGAATAGAAGCTACTACTGTTCAACAACCCACTGTTCGAGTTTGTCCTCTAACTGTGGCCATCTCGCTTTGTTCCCTCGGAAACTCTTTTTAGTCTTCTTTACTTGGCACAGGTCATCTTCTTGCTTCCTCCACTTCCGTACCATTGATTCATTAATGTTGAATGCTCTCGCTGCTACTCTATTCCCATGTTCGGCTGCATAGCTGACAGCCTTGAGTTTGAACTCAGCGTCGTAAGCGTGTCTCTTGAAAGGTGCCATTTTGGGGTCTTTATACACACAAGTGGTGTTGGACTGGGAGTAAGCACAGTACCGGTGTTTACCGCTATTACTTCGGCCTACCACTATTACTTCGGCGACGCCCCTGACTACGGTAGCCGTAATGCTGCAAGCGGTGCGGCTTTGTAGTTTACCAGTCGTACTGAAACATTTTGACAGAGCGCCGTGTACAACCAGTATAGATCAACCAATTAACCAATTGATCCATATATAAGGCGCTCCAGATTACAAGGTGCACTGTCGTTTTTTGAGAAAATTAAAGGCTTTTAAGTGCGCCTTATAGTGCGGAAAATACGGTATATTAGAATTTAGAATATTCGTTGATAGCCCTAATAACCACTATATATAGGAAATGATAACACTGTGACTGAAAAGCACACACATGAAAATTTACATTTCTATATTTGTGACAAGAAAAGGTCATGATGAGCACAAGGTAATTAGGGTTATTTAATAACTGCTGCTAGGGTTCACTAAATACTTTTAATTTAAAATCACAATTGGAAAAATCTGATAAATCCGGGCATGTGAACATTAAATATGCAAATGTACATGACTGCAGTGGTTAGTTTATGTGCTCAACAGACTTTTATGATCTTCCATGCTATGTGCCCGTCTTATGCTTTGCTTTACAACTCGTGGGATCAATTAAGCTGAATTTTGAACCTCACCTTATTCATGTTTCCAGCTTGCTGAGCATTCAACGCGTTGTGTGCACCCAACTGTGGCCCTCCTTGGGTGAGTGTCTCTGCCAGCACACTGCCTCCAGCACCCACTTGTGCCCCCTGCATGCCTTGGTACTGCATGCCAGGTCTGCCCCGGCCTGCTGGTCCCAGAGCCCCGTTCATCACTTGTCCCGTCTGGCCCATGACCCCGTGGCCCTGCCCACTGTTCAACATGGCCTGGTTGAAGCTCATGCCCCCATTGCCTTGTCCAGCAGCAGTACCTCCTTTCTGGGCCTGGGGAGACTGGTGATTGGGAGAACCCTGCCCGTGTGGACTTTTACCAAGCACAGCCCCCAGCTGGCTTCCCATGCCTCCCTGTTGGGGGCTGGCAGAGTTGAGAACACCTCCCAAGATGGAGGAGCTCCCTGGTCGCAGAAGCTCGGACAGCTGCTTGTGTTTGGCAGCTGCATCGGGGATGATGGAGTTGAGACCAGGACCCCCTCCACCTGGACCGCCATTAGAGGACATTCCCATTCCCAAGTCTCCATTGGGGATGAGCTCATCTGGAAGGTCGTTTTCCAGGTCGAACAGAGACACAAGATCTAAAAAAAGAGAGAGAGACACGGAAATAAGAATTAGTGTTCATCGCTGACTCATCCCCTTTAACCAACAACAGAAGAAGCTGTAAACCACCAAGTGCACAGGAACTAATGTATCCGTTTCAAGAGAAATTAGAAGGTATATTCACGTAGGACCAATTACCCGTGGCTTTAAGGTTAAGCCCAACTGTAACATGACTTTACCTTGTACTGTTAATCAGAGTTAGGAAAAAGGGACAAAGAATCAGATATAGGAGGAGAAATCTATTGAGTCATCGACCACTGAACCCAACATTGTGATCCACTTAAAAGCAATTCAATTCATGAAAGTGATCGTATAATGCAGCACAAAACCCTGAAATCTTAAATAAAGATATTATTTCGTCATAAATAATAATAGAGATGTATACTCCCCATATTCTTACAGTAAACGGTTACCTCATAAATAAATAATTACATAGACAACACACCGGCTGTGTCTCTGCAGCACAGGTACATGCAGATGAGGCCTCGCTCAGAACACGCAGGCAATCGTCTAATGAACGGCACCCGCTCTCACACCACAGAGCACAAAGCTTCACACACTCAGGTTACACTTGCAGGTGTGTTGGCTTCAACACAAGCTTAACTCAGATTAAACTCTGATGGCCCACCTTAAAAAGTCATACTACCTTAAGTGAGCCTGGAGGCTCATTTGGCATGCGACGATATAACGCACTAAACTGTATGAGTGTAGTTCTGTAAGTATTTGTGTTGGAAACGTAGCGTGTAACTTGTAGAAGTGTGCCTGTGCGTACATGGGCGAGTGTACATGTACACTAAAAAAAGCTCAGTCCTTTGGACAAGGGGAGAAGTGTGCCGTGAGAAAAAGTAAACAAGAAAAACATTAACAGAAAATTTATGAGGGTTGCCGTTCAGATCACACTGCGATGCCACTATCCTTCACGTGAGGGTGCAAGTGCCACACCCTCACACACGCCTGGCTCAGTGTCTGGGGCCACTCGGTTACTAAAAGGTTGAAGAGAAATCCAACCGTTATCGATATAATATAGTGGCAATTAATGGGAGCTTAAATATTACGGTCACATGCTTTAAATGGAGTGCCCAACATTTAACCGCACGAGGTTAATGCAACAAGTCCCCGAGTAGAGCAAGAGACATGAACGTCGCATAGTTGAGAGCAAGCACCTGTGCCTCGCCGGAGAACGATTCAGCGACAAGATTGAAACCACACAACTTTAAGAGGGAGACGATACAGTGGAGCAAAAAAAGCTAGCTGAAGGAGAAAAAAAAACAGCCTTTAGCATGGTTACTCTTTTCAAAAAGGCTGAGAGTACAATTTGAATTCGCCCCTTATACAACAAGGATATGATGAGCATATCCAGCAGCAAGCAATCACATGCCGAGACAACTGAAGCATCCACTAACCACAGAATCCCAACACTTGAGTCGCACTATTCTCACCTGAAGAAGACATGGCTGCTGCCGGTTGTAATTCACCCGAAGCTTTTCAACAGCGACATGAAAATCTTCAATTTGACTCTTCAGTCTGAGAGATAATAACAGGGTGTTCAAGCAGACTGTTGCTGCTTTACCAGAGTCAGAGAGAGATAAGATGGAGATGGAAAGTGTAAGATGCTCCCCCCCACCCCCATCTCTCCCCAAGAGAGAGGGAGCAAAGTTGCTCCGCAATCCTGGCAGTGCTGAAGGGACACATTAGATTTGTAATGGACCAGGCTAAACATTGGGAAAGTGGTCAGGGTGCAGCCTATAACATCCAGCAGTACATGCTGGAGAAGTTACGTTGCAAAATAGAAAAACAAAAAAGAAAATGGTCATGGCCAGTATGAGATAACACCAAACTCACTCTCAGATATTACAATGTTAAGATAACAATCTAAGATAATAAACATATTATCTTATATCAGTGTCTTTACTTTGACAATAATGGCGTCTTACTCGCTTCCAGTGATTTGCCATGCAAGTCATATCCAAAGAAATGCACATTTTAGATAAAGTTCGTGGTTTTCCCTTTTTTTGCCTTTCGAAAGATCAACATGTGTAAAAACTGAAGAATTCCATTCAGAGATTTATTGAGACACGGTGAAGGGCCTCAGCTTTTATCATCGTTTTAAATCACATGAGCGGCTCTAAGGTTGCAATGTTGTGTCGGGCCAACACTTTGGTCAAAACTGAAATAAAAACAATGTATAGACTCCAAAGATATTTTTAATAATCTATGGTCCCCTGAGGATGAACCCTTTGGTGATCGCCTGATTCATCTCTAGCGCCACCTTGAAGTTGACATTTATAGATCAGAGAAGGGCAGGAATTTCACCAGCAGCCACAGCGGCCATGGACGTTTTGGGCCTTCTGTCTTGGCCTCGATTCCCTTCTGAAAAACATAAACCCTGCAGTAACAGTGGCTTTGATCCCCCGCTCACACTGCCCCAAGTTGATATCGCAGTTTTCTTCTCTGCCGTTTTCCAGAAAATATGTATTTTTGACCCCGGTGTGTTTTTTTGCGATATTGAGTAACATTAAGTGAATAGGGTTGTAACAGTATGAGATTTTCACGATACAGTAACCAGCTCAGAAAACATCATGGTTTCACAGTATTACACAATTATCATTATTGTATTAGTTACAATGATCCTTAAATGATTGAGAACAGAACTGAAGCATGTTAGTTTAGATATTAGCAGTACTAGCATGTCAAATGAACTATTAAATTAAAAATAAAATCAGTTGTGAGCTTTATTAAAATAATGCCCTTTGATTATTAACAGTTCTCATATACTGTTGGTGCGCCATAATATTTATCGACTGCTCCCGTCTAGTGGTGCAACGGATCATAAAACTCACGGTTGGGATTGTATCACGGATCGGATCACAAATCGGATCAGCACAAAAGCAAAAAGGGAGCGAGTATAACTTTTAGAGACAGCTGAGCACGTTTTATTGCCGCCGACACTAATTGCCAATCATTGATGATCCATACTGGCAAATAAAGATCTCTTTATTGTATGATTATAGCAGCTGGTCTACAAGGACCCAGACTCCCAAAAATCATTTCAACCACTCTGAAATTTTGTGGGTTTTTTCTTCATAAAAACACACAATTCACATTAGAAAAGATTGTATTTTTATTGATTAAATCAAATCTTCATTAGTAGTTTTAATGATGCATTGTAAACTGCTTAGAGTAAACAGGTCATAATTCATCTCTAATATCTATTCATGTTGTAAAAACATCTCCTTCACACAACTGGACTTATTCAAGTTAGTCACTTTACGAGATAACATTTGAACACATAACAGAACCTTCTTCTGTTAGCCGTTAGCGATGCTGCTAACGTTACCATAGACTGTATATAAAAGATAAAAGTAGGTTACTAGCTCTTCTCCTGTCAATATAAACACAGATTGGTTGTTTACGATGTAACATTATCAGAGATTGGCGACTACAAAAGCATAAATGCCGATGTTCTGATCACATATTTTACTAAATATTGGCGGATAACGGTTATCTGTAAAACTTTTTTTGACACCGTGATCGTTAAACTGTGTAATTAACCCACGCTTTACATGCGTGCCGAACTGTGAGGGGGGATCCGATCAATCGACGATCCGTTACACCACTATTCCCATACCATCGGTTACACTCACTTGAATAAATGCTACAACTCCTCAAGACCCAGGTTCAGTTCCCGTGTCTTGCGTGCCAGCAGCCTGCAACCTGCTGATTAATGCGGAGGGGGTTAGCCCGGAGTTCTACTCTGACTCCAGCTCACTTTAAGGTGGGCTGACCTTTAAGATCGACAAACTATTCTCCTTTCAGTAAAAAGACATTCCTGAGTTTTGAGCCGCTTTCTATTTTTTAATCTTTCTTTTTACAGTTAAACAGATCGGACAAAATTCTTATTCATATTCGTCAGTTAATGGTTAATTAACTATTGCTTAACAATTAGTGTTGATGGATACATTCTTTTATCATCAGACTGGTAGAATTAACAGCAACATTGTGAAAATGTCGTGCCACATTTAAAAACTGAGGGAGCACGGTGTTTTCCACACATATGATTGGCGGTACATTTGTAAAACTTTTAATATGGTGCTTTATAAGAGGAGCTATGATGACTTCAAGATGTACAAAATTAGTGGCACTTGTAAAGCTGGGGCTGCAGCGATTTGCTGCAGTGTTTATGAAGACTACAGCTATTCAGAGAAGATGACAAGAAGAAACTTTTTCTATAGTTACCCTATCTGAGACAGCAAACACTGTTTTATTTGGCTCTTGCAGTCAGATACTGAAATTTACAGTCTATTTCCAGAGGACATGAGCATCTTGGGGCTGTGTGACTAAGGTTGAGAGCAGTGGGAGGTAAGTGGTAGAGTTGATGAGGGTTGCAATGCAGGGCTGTTTGGGGGTGGCAGATTGGATAGTATCCACCGCCACCCGCCGCTCTCCTCATCCCAATCAGTTCCACCTCAGATGACACATTAGCCAGATCCAGAGGATCGTCTGCCACCGCTTCGCCACGCTGGTGGAAGACAACGTTTTAACACTTGACGCCAGCTAACGCTAATGTAGCTGAATAATACTCAACCAGGGGTTGGTGATCTTACACACATGCCAGACAAAGGAGGAGGAAACCCCGCTAGGTGAACAGTGGGGTGGGCAGTGGCTGCCCATTTCTCATCGCTGGCGCTGATACGCCCACCCGGCCACACAAATGAAAACAAGCCCGGCGTTGGCCTGTGGCCACAGGCGCAAGCACATACTGACACGAGACCAGAGCACCATAAAAAACCTGTCATATATTAACATAAACATCAAAGACAGGCTGCTAATCTGTGGCTGTGAGCGACAGCCCAGTGGGCTGGATGTGGCAAAGAGACACGTCTTTGCTATCTTTCAGACGACCAATAATGGAAAGGCTTTACCAATAACAGACAGGACTAAGTACGCCAAACCCACTCGGGTATATTGTCATGATACCCCTTTGAAACACAAAAAAACAATAATTGCCATTATGCATTGAATCTTAAAAGCAACCAAATACTGGTGGGGTTTGTTGAGATATGAAATTCACATATGAACATCCAGGGTGCCCAGGATAAGCCATCTACAGGTCTGAGGGAAAGTTATACAGCAACATCCACGTGCTACCCGAAATCAATCACTCTTTGTAAATTTATGTTCAACACACAGATTCTCTGATTCACTTCATTCATTCATAAACTTCCAATTGAAAGAAACCAAGTAAATGTAATTGTGGAGTATGCACAAGAAAAAGGCTGCAAGCTACAGGTTCACAGATCTGCTCAGAATTAGGGCTTTTTCAACTCAAGAAAAAAAAAAAATGTACTTATCCTCCCATCTGCAGCCTGGCACTTAAAATCTTCTCAATGTACTTAAGAGCCTGAACTGCATCCAGGACTTCAAAGAGAGCAGGTCTACAAGAGACACTGTGCAACGTCTTACTGACTACATGTGTTTGTGTGCGTGTGCGTCAACTGAGACAGAAAGGGCTTCTGGCGGCGGTGGGGGAGGAGTCGGTCTCGGTGTAGAGCTGCTTTATTGCCCAGCGAAAGCTTCCGTCGCCCCTCTGAGAAGATGAGCTACCTCGGCTGAAGACTGTCGGCTAGATAATGCAGCTGCATTCAGTAAATCGATTCAGTAAAAATACCAACCATTCTCTGGTGTCAGTTTCTCCAATGTCTCAGAGTTTCTGCTTTTCTTTGTTTTATATCATCGTATAGGCCTATCACGATAACTACGTTGTCAACTTGTCGTACAATATATGGTCATTAGGGGTCTAACAATACACGTATTCGTACTGAACCGTTCGCTACGAGGCTTACGGTTCGGTACGCATTACGAACCGAACAATACGTTTCAATAATACTGTTGCATTTGGAAGATGCAGAAGCTTAAATTGTGGGAAATATTATGCTCTCTTGGTGGAGCCACTGCGCTCAACATGGCAACCCACCCGATGTAACAGACAATGTGCTGTCCGACACTCCCACGACGGAAGAACAGCATTGCACTCTCGTGAGCCACGTTTGTTCTCGGAGAAGCACGCTATGCTAAACTAGCTTAGCAGGAAAGCCGACAGCAGCACACACGCTACAAACTCTCCCCGCAGCGTTTAGGTAGCTGTTCCCTACCCATTCAAACAGGGCTAAAGCAAATCGCCACAGCAATTGTAATATTTATAGCCGCGGATACGAGACCCTACTCTGTAGAGGAAAACAAGGCTGTACGAACACGCTTAATGCTATTGAGCCCCGTGACACTACTCATTCACGAGCCCATTTCTCCAGACCATAATTCCTGCTTTGTAAAAAAAAAACAAAAGCCCAAATAGAGAATCAAATGTCCGAAGCACCCGCTGCTGCTCTAACAGACGGCCCGGACTTCAAAAAGCTACCTGACTGTAACGACACATTACCTCACTACTGACTGGAGATGAAGAGCCATGTTCTTCAGACACACCCCCTTGAGAGTGTCACCAGCGAGGATTTGGCATTTCTGCTTTTTTGCTGTCTTGAAAACGTACCGAACCGTGGCACCACTGTATCGTATTGAACCGAACCGAGAATTTTGTGAACCGGTACACCCCTAATGGACATGACCCTCGATATTGTCAGTTGCATTTACATGCGTTTTTGTTGACATAAGAATGTCTCTAACATTTTAGCCAACATGATGTCGGGCGGCGCGGCGTTGAAAATGTTTAACTCGGGCGAGAAATTCACGTGACGCTGTGTCGCGATAGCCTATCAGCGTTGAGATGCTCCTCCTGTCATCCTGACATTGTCGAATCAGGAAAAAAATATTGTAGCCGTAGGCGGGCACCCAGAGCTCTAACATACCTCATATTAGTAGAGACCAGACAAAACTGTGTATAAATGTATGTGGGTAAACCATATGGTACAAACAATGAAAAAGACGTTGACGTATTTACGCCTAGATGGCGTTATTGAGTGTTGATGGAGCTGCTACAATGTTAGCATAGAATAGCACCAATCGATCCAAGCTCCATTGAAAAAACAAGTATTTTAAAAAGGTATTTGTTTGCCGTCTTGCGGAGAGAGAACTAATAAAACATGAATTGAGACTTTTTACAAACCGGCATGATTATGTAGTTATTTCGGCAAAATTGTTTATTTTGGGTTCATACCGCTGTAGTAAAGCAGCCGACGTGTGGCTTGCTAGATACAGTGAATACACCTCGATGAAATCCACGGATCGCCTCCAGATGATGATATGAACCCAGACAAGACAGCGTTTAGTTTCCCGGGATATCTGGGACTTCCACAAGAAGTATCAAGCAGAAATGGCGGTTATTTCTTAATTGGTTGATGGCGGAAATAAATGGCTTAGTTGATAACGGAGATAAGCCATTCCTCCTCTCCGGCGCCTCTAGCGCAAATGAAGCGAATAACCACAAATGATCCCGCGAGTAACGCGACGCGAAAATTTGCTTGCCCAATGTAAGTCTATGGGGAAAAGTCTTTTTGGGCCCCGTGGCATCACGTGAGGGACTTAGAAATTGTAATTCCATCGTTTGTCCACTATGTCAAATTTGCTTCAAAGCCCGGAGCTCTTTCTGGGGGCTTGATACTGTCCCCTTGTCTGCTCCCTGAGTTGTAAACGGACAAAAGGGGACGCCGAAATAACTATGTAATGATGCAGATTTGTAAAAAGTTTGAATTCATGTTTTGTTAGTTATCTCTCCGCAAGACGAGAAGTAAATAACTTTTAAAATACTTGTTTTCTCAATGGAGCTCGGTTGGTGCTATTCTATGCTAACATTGTAGCAGCTCCATCAACACTCAACATAACGTCATCTAGGTGTAAATACGTCTGCGTCTTTTTCATTATTTATACCACATGGTTTACACACATACATTTATACAGTTTTGTCCGGTCTCTACTAATATGAGGCATCGTAGAGCTCTGGGTGAACGCCTACGGCTACAATATATTTTTCCTGATTCAACAACGGCAGGACGTCAGTGATGACAGGAGGAGCATCTCAACGCTGATAGGCACGCGATTTTTTTCACCCAAGTTGAAAAATTTCAACTTGCGTCACACGCGCCATCGCAAATTCACATCACTGCAGTCTCATCGACGCTGTCATTTTGCCTGTTAATCTTACACACTGACAGCTAGTGCAGCCATTTAACGCCCCTCCTTTCCCAAATTTCTACTGAGAGATGCATTAAAACCTCTTTCTCATGTAGAACCGATGTGATTGCAGCATCAGCAGTTATCCCTTCTCAAAGTCCCTATCCATAAAACGACCGTGTAAAATGAATTAGCTCCTGTAAGGATAAGTCCTCGTCGGACAAATAGATGCCAAAAGTTCTGTTAAAGTTTGAGATTTCTGGTGCCAAGTGTATTAAATTAGTATTATCAGTCTGACTCTTGTCCAGTTGACATTGTTTCTTGCCATTTTTAAAAAACGTAATATCTGCAGGCAGGTGTTAAGTGGTTCAAACTTTTTGTTCTCCATTCCTATCAAATGCCTGAGAGTGTTGCTTAATCTGGACTAATTTCTCATTCACAGATTAACAAAACACAACAATTTCCTGAAAAGCCAGCAAATGTCTTTGGGTGACAAGGGTTTATACTACAGTTGAAGTTTTCCAAAAATGCACCTGTTGCGTAATAGTTGACAACTAGAAAAAAAGAATGACCACTGTAAAAAAATTGGCTGGGGACGTATAATGCTGATTAGACATGATTTCTAAATAATAAAGCTATTATGAATACTACTTCACTCATCACAACACAATCGTGTACATGCTCATATATCTGTATCAACCACTGACCACATGCAAAAAGTGTGGGTGTGTGTGTTGAAAACATATAACCAAGGCACACAACTTCTATGTCAGAGGGTGGCATACCCTCAGCTACTATTTTATGTAATTACGCAATGTCCTGGCCACAAAATGTCACAATCATTTTTTTACAAGGTCAACTGTCCCAACTTACTTTCCAAAATGTCACTGCAGGTTGGACTGGTGAAGATGCAGACCCGAGGACTAGTTTCTAATATTTAACATGGCAGCCGTTATGAGCTCCATGATGCCCATTTGCTAGCCAATTATAACGGCTGCTGAAAAGTTGTGGCTGTAGGTACGAAACACATGAAATCTTCCTGTTTATTAGATACATTTTAACCCAGGTCAGTCAAACATTTGGTGGAAGGAAGGACTGAGCTTTCAGTGGCAGACTGACCCAGAGGTGAGAGATTATCTTTCAAAGTGCTTGTGCTGCATCTACACTGTCGAGGAGGCACTGAGGAGGACACCAAGTCCAGTCCAGAGGCAACATGTTCCTCTGTGCTGCTTAGTTGGAAACAAAAGAGTTACAAAGCACAATTACGCTTTGTAACTTAGCCGTTAACACTTGAAGACTGATAACTTGGGAGCACACTCTCCCTGTTGAGTAATTCTCATGTGATGAAGAGGGATTGAGTTCGCACTTTTGACAGTATTAATGCAATTTGTGGTATTTTTCTAGTCAGCTGCAGGTTTTAAATCAGACAATCCCACGAGCCAGGGACTCGATATAACAGTTTTCCTCCTGTGATATGTGCACAGCTGAAGTGGCGGATCGGTTTAGGCTACTTCGCCGCATCTCTTTTCCTAAAAGGTGAGTGCAGCAGGATTGAACAGCGTGCAAGTATAATAAATATAACTTTTACTGTGAGTCAGTAATTCACATTTGTAACACCATGTCTTGTCCTTCTTACCTGGGCCATCTGACACTGAGAGAGGTGAATTGAGCTTGGGTCGCTTTGCAGTGGGGGGTCCGACATCCAGCAGATTGTCAGCCATCCTGCTCGGTTATGAATGGATGATGATGCAGGAAAACAACAGCAGGATCAGTCCCCCTGGTCGGGCTTGTGGCTCGTAATAACTGGTAACTTTTCCTTTACGTTGAGCGTAAAGGAGCAATGTATCTTGGAGGTTTTGGTTTTTTTTTTCTTCTTCTTCTTCGTCGTCTTGACTGGCAGACTAGCGAAATGCTGCCTGGAGAAAAAGGTTTCAAAAGAAAGGCAACAGCGCCACGCTTCGCCGCCGAAGATCACCCCATGATAATCCAACACCCAACACCCACATAATTATCCTCAATAATTACGTCCAAAAATTATTTAGCTTCGAGAAAAATAAATAAAAATCAATCATAAAATATTACACAAGGCGTAGGCAAATCCTTTTCTCCGCAGATCGCCGGATTCACGTCTGTACAGAATCATTTTTTTCGCAGTCGAAACGAGCAGTCATAAAATCTATCTCAGGCTCGAATAAAAAGAGCAAAATTCAAAAAATATTTTCTATGAGGTGGATTATTTTTGTCGTCGCTGTCTCCCGGCAAATACAGCGTCTCGGGACGGAGATACGGCGAGAATCGGCGCTCGCTAAAAGGGAAATCAAATATACAGTGGCCTTTCGAGACGATAAATACGCATGTAATCCTCACATGTTTGCATTAATTCTCATCAGAAGGAGTAACACTTCGATTTTCTGCAAGAAAAAAGCCGTTTGAGCCCGGTCTGAGTAGCTCCGGTCGGTTTTTAAAATTAATGCTCCCCCCGAAATCCCGATTCTGAGCCGCGTCAAGATGGCGGCTGTTGATTCCTCCGATACAAAAAAAAAAAAGTTTTTTTTTTCTTCCCAGCTAGACTGTGGGGGGAGGAGGGGGAGGTGTCGCGCTATGACGCCCTGACGTAAACCTGTGCCCCAACCGTGCGTCATGGGGACGTACGTGAAGTAGCCTCTAAGGGTGGAATAACCCCCCAAAAACTGAATATACTATGTTTTAAACTGCTTTAAACTTTACAAACACGTAACAACACTGCAAATAGAAAATGGTCACTTTAGGGAAAACACAAATCACTCGCGATGAAACGAAGTACTTAAATCCCAACAGTTCCTATATAATTATTTGTATTCCTATCTATCATAATACTATATATCTCTACACACTTACAATTTGAATACCTCTTCCATAACTACATAACATAGTGCTTCGTAAAAGTCCCAATACTAATACATTTTATTAAAACAACTTTCTAATCAGCTCTACCAGTCATATTCCCCACAAGTATTTATGTACATTGAGTACATAAATACAGAACAGTAAGTACATAAATAAGTAAGTCTGTGCAAATTAAACAGCAAAGGTTAGATGAAGCCATTCACAGCTGTGCACAGCTCCAGCTGTTAAGAAATTGAAACAAATAATTTTGTCAGGATAGGAGCACTGTTCAGTGTTGATTAAAACATTTAAAAACATACATAAATACTCCTGGGCAGTTACATTATTTAAACATAGTGAATGTACTCAACAAAAGACGCCAAGTAATTCTCATTTCTCTTAATACCCTGTATGGGTACCAGTATACCAGTGGTAGAAAAGGTATTCTGATCCTCAACTATGGTAAAAGTAGCAACCACTGTGGAAAAATACTCAATTTGAAGGTAAAGTTCTGCATTTAAAAGTTTGCTTAATTTAATGGTGTAGCTGATTTGAGGTGAAGGTAATGTAAACTACTCTGTGTTATGTTGGGTAATTGAATCTATAACAGTGTTTTATATTTAATAAATGTGTCTAATGTTTTGTATGTAAAATCTTAATCTAAAAAGCACTGTAAGGCAATGGATTAGTATAGTATTAAATGCATACAGTCTAAAACAGCATATGAAAGAAATACTCAAGTAAAAGTACCTCAAATGTGTTGGTTACTTCAGAACAGTATTGAGAACATGATACAATCCACCACGGGTAAATGCAGAACCGGATGTAGTGTACAGGCTATAAATTCAACCGGACAACATTTCCCAGCAACTGACTTTATTCAGTTTTAACCTTCACTTGCATACTTATTAGCGTGCTATATACAAAAACATTACCAAAGAATGCAACAACTCATTCAAACTTGGCTGTAGCAGGCTACTGAAACACTGCCTACCTGCAGACATCTGGTAGTATCTCGCCCATTGAATTTAAGAAAAACAAGACGTCTGCATTGATTGAAGCATTAGTGACTTACTTTTTTAAATAATAAGATTGGAGCATCCCTTCCAAAACACATAAAACCACACAGTTTTACAAACACTTTTTTTACACACGTGCAGGCAAGAACACACAAGTATTATTCCAACATTGTTAAAATAACCCAGTTCTTTAGACTGTTTAATACTCTAGTACATGCGCTTGTATAAATAGAAAATGCTCAGATACTATACAATATAAAGGCATACTGTACATAAAAAGTGAGCGTCTTGTGCAAATGTGTTTTATCATTGAATATATGAATGACATTTCTTGAATCTTCACAACACAACCTGCAAATTAAGGAGAAGAAACATTAACAAAGAAACTCCAAGAGATGTTAATTATACTCTTTGGCATCCACATTCTCACAGTGTGCCATTCTGCGAAGAAGAAATGTCACTTACAACTCGATAAATCAAACCAAATTTAGCTTTTAACATTTTAGCTCACGTTTAGAGTAAAACATGGGGGGGGGGGCAATCAAAGCTATTAGTTGACACACCTGTCTAAGTGTTACCGTTTGTCCCACATACAACACTAATCCAGAAACAAATGTTCAGAGTTCATAAAAAATACAAGGACAAGGAGGAGAAAAAAGAAATGTAGCTTATATGCTTTATCTGACACTCAAGTACCGTAACCTCTATTAAGAACTTGACCATGGATAATGACAATAATTATTATAAACGTCCCTTTATTGTAGTATAACAAACACTAATTTTGGGCAAGTATAAGGGCTGTGTGCTCATAAGCGTAAAAAAGGTAATTTGTTCTTGCAAACTTTTTTATTGCATTTAAATCAACCCAACTCCATCCGAGCAATAGATACAGAACACAATGGAAGGCCAAACATCAAGGGATTCACAAAATTCATTAAGGCCAACTAATATTGAATATGTTTGGTATGTTTACATTGTTTGCATTAAGAAAAGGCACTGCTCAAATTTCATGACCTTAGAAAACCTCAACCATCAAAATTAAGCATTAGTGAACATTCTCCTGCTTACCATGAGCCTTTGGAAATATTTATTGTCCATAAAAATTAAAGCAACTCAGAGCAGACAGAGAAAAAAGATAAGGAAATTCAAGTTATAAGTTAAAAGGCACAAGCAACCTTATCTGCACACATAGAATAATATTGATCCATTAGGGTAACCTTAAATGTGGCAGTTGGAATAAATGATTTGATGATTTAAAAAAAAGGCAAACTTGTTTTTCTGCAGTATTTGTCTTGTTTGCTTTAGTACGAATTATGAAACAGTAATTCAACAACATGAGGTTAAGGTGTTGCGGTACTGAAACGTCCAAAATAAGACAATTAAGAGGATTTCATGGTAAAACTTTTTTGCCTCTGAGCACACAATCCTTTTTGCTAAGAAACAGTGAGAGAGGGAAACTGTAACAGCAACAGAGATGTACAGTTTAATCAGTTTGATATCCTTAGTAATATGATATAATAGCATTAAATCAATTAAGTATAAAATAAAGATAAAACACCTATAGTATAAAATTTCACTGCCTTTGCATTTACTGTGCTAGTACATCAAGTTTCATGCCATTAAAATTGCGAAGCAGCGAATGCGTCCAGGTGATTCCATCTAGTAATGTCTTTCAAATACTAAACACTGGAGAGGATAGCTTCACTTAAACAGTTCAAGTTTTGTGTAACAATAAATACAATAAAACACATTTAGTTTTGATTTGGGACATTCCACTTTGATTATCCATTTCTTAACAGCTCTATCAACTAAGACACAGTGAAATTCAAAGCGAAACCTAGGCAGTTGTTTTCTCTAATCGATCTACAGTCAAGACAATCTACAGGTACAGCAGTGCCTTGTAGCGTCCATTGAAATACTCATCAACACTTAACACAGCCTGCATTCCCATAAGAACCAGGATCACGGGGAGGGCACAAACATTAGTCACAGTTAACCTCGTCTACAATGCTGTTTTTGCAAGCATGCTGATTAAATGTAGCTGAGACCATCATGCCTCAGTACTGAGGCAGTACAAAGATCTTAACCAAGGCCAGAGAAGAAATTCGCCACATCGGCAACCAAGATTTGTTTTACCGACTGCGTTCCTAAACTGTTCGTCATCATCCTGCAGTTTCATCAAGTCAGTCAAGTAACTCGCAGGGACGTCTCCTTATTAAAGCCTGCGTGATTTTGTTACCACACACACACACACACACAACACACACACACACACACACACACACACACACACACACACACACACACACGGTTTGCATGCAAATATACTCGTATGACACGCAGCTTGGCCCCTCCAGCCCTTAGCCTGCATCGATTAGTCTCTGCTGTGCCTTTCATGAAGAGTTTTCTGGTTCTCATGAAGAACATGGAAACACGCACTAGTGCAGATTTTACTAATACATATCTTGGCGTAACATCGTATTTCCCTTTACTTAACACATACTGTGATTCTCCTCACGCTGTAGCACTTTCCATGTGTAAGATGAGCTCCTCTTTGAGAAAAGGGAATATAACATAGCAAAGTATCTTTTACAAAATAAAGTAAAATAAAGCATTGCGGTTTTTACAAAAAGTTAGCTTTTTTACAGTTTTCCCTTATTGTTATGCTTCCCTTGCTGAAAAAAAGGCTTAGTCTACACATTATTCTACTCTAAAGGCACTTAAAAGACATATGAAAGAAATAATTAGGATTAAAGGTATACAGATAATCAAGTAAGTTAATGGGAGACGATGGGATCTGTAGCAGGCAAGAGAAGGTTCAGAGTGACCCATCACTTCTTCCCATTTTCTCTGAGTGTTGCTGCCTGACACTCACTCTGTGGTCCAGCTAGATCCCTCCACTGATAACATCAGCCAATCAGATGGACAGTAAAAATAAGCTGCTGATGCAGAGAAGAGGCCTGTGGGTCTTTCTCTCAGATTCTAACCTTGGGTAGGACCAAATAAACAGCGATTCTACGAATGCCAACCGGCAGGAACAAGAGCTTAAAGGGTAGAGATAGATTTATGATAAAAGCGCCATTGTAGCAAATGCTTAAAGTCTGGTTAACTCTCCGACATTGCTGTCATAATCACCATCGCATTTGTCCTTCTTGATGTCTTTCTGGGACATTGTTGTGGAATTTTGGGGTGTGTCTTGCTGGACTGAGGATGAGCTGAGTTGTTTATTTGCAGAAGAATGAGCTCCTTCTTGGTGAGACGTAGAACGTCTGGCATGAGAGGTCTCTGTAGAGGGACGTCTTTCACGGCTGTCCACCTGTTTCTCATGGTTAAGCCCTGTGGTAGTAGAGGAACCGGCGCTGGCACTGGGTACTATAGTATTGGTACTGCTTGCAGTTATGCTGGTTGTTGGCACCATGCTGGCAATTTCATCAGTGGGCGAGCGCCCAATGCTACCATCCACCTGTGCCCGGATCTCTGGTGAGACTGAGAGTTGGTACTGAGGCACAGGGCCACTGTCGCTGCTCTTCGGGTAGAGGAAGGTCTTCATCTGACCTTTGCCTTTGACGTTAACTGTGCCACGGTAATCAAACTCATAATCCATGGCACTGAGCACACAATAGCTCTCCTCGCTGACCTGGACACGGCACTCCACACCTGTAGTGTCCATGCGACTGGCGATGTTGACTGTGTCGCCCCAGATATCGTAGAGAAGCTTAGTGGTGCCAATCACCCCGGCTGTAAGAGGCCCGTGATTGAATCCAATGCGAAGCTTGAAGCCAAAGCCCAGCATGTTCTTGTTGAAGTCGTCTACCACACGCATCATTTCCAGGGCGAATTCGAAAAGAGCGCGGAGGTGAGCATGAGGATGTGCCGCATCGGCACACTGCTGCGCATTGAGTCCTGCTGCTGCCATGTACGTGGCACCGATGGTCTTGATCTTTTCCATATTTGAGAAGGCAGGCTTCCGTAACAGCTCATCAAAGTCTCCAATTAGCTCGTTGAGGACACGATAGCACTCCTTGCCTCCCTCGTAGCTTTCCTCATAAAACTCACTGAAGTTAACAATGCTGGCAAATATTACACCCACATTGTCGTGGTTCTTGGAGTAGCTCTGGGTGACCTTCAGCTGCTCGGCCACATGGATAGGGATGATATTGCGAAGCAGCCAGTCAGCCTGGTCCCTCATGTTCTGGATCTTGATGCGATGTTGATCAGCCTCGACGTTGCCGTGGTAATGCAGGCGGTGACTGACCTCAAATTCACGGTTAAGGAACCATATGAGGAGAAGGACCAGGAAAAAGGCCACGCAGGCCTCAGGGCCTAGCAGGTCCTGTGGGTTTGGGTCTGCTGGGCTGTCAGACATGACATTGGAGCTATTGCTGCTGCTGTTATTGCTCTGGCCATCTGACCTGGTAGAGAGAGAGCGAGAGCGAGAGCGAGAGCGAGAGCGAGAGCAATGCAGGAAAATTGTAAAACTGAAGGACAAAATAAATATTTAGCTTTTTAAAAATAAATTTGCAGCTTTTATAGCTGTAAGTAATAACCACAATTACAGAAGCTTTTGGCAAAAGTTGTATGCACCTTACCAAAAATTCAACTCTGCATCATGCAGACAACACACAAGAGTGACTACCAGCAATCATCTACCAAAAAGAAGTGAACTAACTCTTACAATAATCACTGCACTTACCAGAAAAACAGACTCTTAGCAACACTGGAAGAGATAAAACACAAATATTCCTAATTAATGCATCAAGTGCATGTAGAAATTCAGCACCATCCAACATAATCTTGTGCTCTTTTCTTGTAAGTTGTCAGTGTCATCACATTATTCAATTATATCACATTTTACAAATCTTTCCTTTCATTATCTCTTGAGTATGTCATACCTGCAGGGGGAGCCGAAGAGCAAGGTAAGCAGTGCTAGTCCCACCAAAGTCGCTAGAACTGAGCGCATCCAGTAGCTGAGTTGGCAGAAGTTACAGTACTGAATGATAGCTATGATGACAGCACAGCAGATGAACATGGTGAACTGGGGAAAATGTGGGGCAGAGAGTCATTAGTCAAAATAGCCCAGAAGATTATCACATAAATTCCAATGACTTTTAGCAATTTAACATATTGTACCAACAACTAAAAGACTATTATGCCAAAAATATGAAACTTCAAATCCACCTGGATGGAGAGATGCATGTCACAGGCGACATGAGAGAAGACAGCCACAGTGGGCAGGGAGACCAGGACGGCTCCTATAAAGTGACGCGCTATCCAGCCTGAAATGGCTGTCATCAGCACCCGAGTGCAATTAAGCACACTGTCCAGGTAGAAAGCCATACTGGGAGAGGAGAAACAATATCATGTGATTTATAAAGAGATTATTATGATGTATAAGAGATTCATGAAGTGTTTATCTGATACTTGAGTGTCCTGATTAACCCCTGTCGGATCCCAGCCTGATTTCAGACATGATTGTCTACACCTTGATTTGTATTCAAAGTGGGTACATCAAGATAATACAAATATATTTAAAAGGCATTTTTGCTCCAGGGCCCCTTATTTCTAATACACCCTACCTGAGTTTGCCCTTTAAGCCAAATAAGTATCCATGTCAACATCTTATCTGCCTCGTCTCCCCTTGTCCGTCTTTTTCCTCCGCTTTCCAACTGCCTGAAAACACACCACCCGCTCTATTTCCCCATTAGAAAGCACATGACCATCAACAATATGGCCACACGAGTATCATGGAAACTAATAATCCAAATTATTAATTTTTTCATTTCTGTGTCATGCCAAACTTCTGTTCCATCCCACATGGGATTACAAGACACCACTATTTTACAAAACATACATCTTCCAGTAATCTCTTCTGATATTGTCTCGCAGGCTGGATCTAGCCCATGGGCCTGAAGGTTAAGACTCATACTTTATTTTCAGTATCTCACCGTATAGCAAACAGCAAAGCCAGAGCCTCCAACAGGGCGACTACAGCTGTCAGAATGAGTGCTGGTGTGGACAAACTCTGCTGAGAAACAAGCGGTCGAAGGAAACAGGCCAGTGAGAGAGCCAGAAACACTGAACAGCACAGCAGCATGTCGAGGAAAGAACTGAATGTTGGACTGGCTAAAGTCTGCACTGGTGTCTGGATTTCCACCTGGGAGGGAAAGAGAGAGGGAGGGAAAAACATAGCAAAAATTAAAATATATGAGAATATAAATAAACATACAAATAAGGCATTCATAAAGAGTAGTCAGTGAAATCCAACCAAACGGCAGCTGCACAAATGCATGACCAAAAAAGTCTCACCATTCAGGATGACTTGGAAATAAATTAACCAACAATCAATGATAATTCAATGACTTAAGTAAGTGTCTACTGAAATCCATCCCTATTCCCAAGTCACTGACTCAGACTCTTGAATACTTGATGGAGCAACAGTTGCAGCCCGAAGAATGACGATGCACTTCTGAGGTTACACCAGCAGAGGACATCACAAACTAACACAAAACTACTTTTAAGGTCCTGCAGTGATTTCTCTTTGCCGCAGTCTTGCCCAGTCTGGTCATAACGCAGTGCTAACAGGCTTCCCAGACAATACACAGACTCGCAGAGAAACACAAACAGGCAGAAAGACATGCACAAATACAGGTAGACGCTCGCAGGTGGAGACAGCAGAGTTGGGATGACTGGAATTACAAAAACACACTGGTTTTCTGACAGTTGTAAAACTCACAGTAAGACTTAAGACAACTACTTTAAGCTTCAAGGATAATGTCAAAAATAAAAACAGATGCATGTACACGCATTAAACTCACAGGCATGCATGCACCATTATGTCATGCACAAAAACAGCTCTTACAACCACGCACACACACCTCCTCCTGGTAGCTTATCCGGTAAGCAGACTCCAGGCTCCTCTCCAGGAAGGTGAGGCTCAGCTTGTTTATGGGAGGTCTGTAGAAATAGTCCTTCATAAGGCTGTAACAGGCAGAGAGGAAAGTCAGTATAATATGTTCATCCTAGATTTTATACATTACAATCAACTTACTTAAAATGTTCTGGAAAATTGACATTGAAAATCAAGATTGACTTCCTGATCGTCGAATGTACATTTAAATGTCGCAAGATTTGTTTATTGTATGTATTTTTAGGTCATTCAAAAGCCGGGCTCTACAGCCTAATCTAGGCCGCCCCAATAATATCAAATATGTTTAACTTCATTGTAACATGAGTTAAATTCTGGATGATAACATCAGTAAGCAGCGGGATCCAACCTGTCTTCTTTAATAACATCCACAAAGTGAGCATCGCTCCTCTCCCTGAAGTTCTTGGAGCGTAGCGGGATGAGCACTGAATGGTCCATGCCCATGGCTCCTCCGCTCCACGTCTTCTTCTCCTTCTCCTGCAGCATCTCACATAGGGACGTCTGGCTGTTGTTTAAGGCTTCCAGCTGAGGACTGAGCAGGCCGTTTAGGGTTTTGGGGCTGCGCCCTGCAGAAACAGCTGGGGAACACTTCAGATTTGGAATGTCCTAAAGGTGAAAAAGACGGGGGAGAGATAACCTGACTTTCCCCCCAAAAAAAACATGGGTAATGGATTTTTGCTTTGGAAACAGGGTCAACACTGATAAGAAGTAGTCTAAATATGAAATATAAAGCTAAAGAGTGTGCTACAGTTACACCAATGCATGTGTGTGACACACTTTATCTGGGACTCATGAGTTCTATTTCTTTGAACTAGTTTTAAGTCCATCGTTTTGCTGCTGGGCAAGAGTAAATGTAGAATTGGTTCACAATGCCCCAGTATTTGATAGGTAAGTGATGGCAAATAACTACATAAAATATACTACACTGGACATACATCAATAGTGCCAAACTGTTGTTCGAACTGTGAAAAGTCAAACAGCATCTTAGATAAAGAGTTTAGAGTATTATCATTTTGGTGAAGGTAACAACAACAGACTAACCTTGTTAATGATGGTCTTGTGGTCGTCAGGGCAGCCATTGTGCACAGCTGCTTCCTCCAGAACCTGATCCTCCCCTGGTATCAGTACCACACTGCAGGATATACAAGGAGACTGTAGGGAGGTAGAGGTTGGGGCGTGAAACGTATGGGGGCAGGAACGAAGAAAGATAATTAATACATTGAGAGATACAGATCAAAGAAAGCATGTAAGGAGAGAAAAACATGAAATGATGGCAGAGATCGAGTCCGAGATGCTTGAGGGACGACAAAATTACAAAAGAGAGACGACAAAAAAACATTCATCAGAAAACTTGTCATACGCAAACTAAGGATGCTTTGACGAGACTTACTATCATCTTACAAATCTGTATTAGCTCAACATTACTTATTCCAGCGATGACAATGCTAACAAGAGCGGCAGTAGCTACTGAAAGACAGATAAAGAAATGAAGTAAACAAGAGACGATGAAGAAGTCTACACAGACTCAAGGTCTTTATTTTCATCCAACTCATCTTCTTCAAACAGAATGGAAAGTGTGTGTGTATCAGAAAGAGATTTGTGTGACAGTTAAACTGTGCTATGAATGTCACCGACATGTGCAAGGCACTGTGAAATATTGAGAAGCCAATACACACACACACCAGTGTTTTAGTACCAGAGGCCGCTCTTAAGACCACTTTTTGAAGGTCTCAGTCTCGGAATGGGCCACATTTTTACTCTGTCTTGTTTCGCTCTCGGACAAGGAGGACTCAGGATTTTATTTCAAGACCGGTCAAGGCCCACGACTGTGTGGATATCATTAACTTGCCTGTACATTGTCTGATTTATTCATACTGTGATTTCTCATGGAAAACAAAAGAAAACCCCCACAAATAAAATTCACCTCTAAAATTCCCTTTGATTATTTTATCAATAATGTGTTAATGTACACTGATACACACACATATATAAAATATATATGAAAATAAAAGAAGTGCATGAAGAGAATCTTCATACGTTTTTATGGGAATGTGGATCTTTCAGATCAATTTGAGAAGTGCCTATGGTTTGCATGTTTTACATTTTATCTGAAGTTGTCATGAGGTATGGGACTCGCACTGGTTTTGGTCCTGGTCTTGACTTGGTCTTGACCCCTTAAAGTCTTGGTCTTGTCTCGGTCGCAATACACTCTGCATGCTACATTAATTGTGCAAACATGGATTACCACACCTGCCCTATGAATCCTTTCACAAATTTAAAAGTTATTAAGCCTTTTTGAAGATTTTTAAGAGTGTGATCTTCAGTGTGAGCCATATCTGTATATAAGTGAGAGCCACGCTTGAAGATGAAAAGCTGTAAATGGAGGAGTCGTCAGATGAAGGCAGAAAGAATTGAGAAGAAGGACCTCCCATCTCCCTGCTTGAGCTCATCACCATACTGAGGACCCCCACTGCTCCCACAAGTATCCCTCCCTCCACCACCTGGCCTGGCAGAGATCTGAAAGATCTGTGCAGGGATAATGGGGTGCACATGTGTACAGTGAAATGAGGACTAATTGGGGTGAATTTAAGGCACAGCGGTGCAGAGTTCTGAGGGTAATTATAAGGGAATAATGTGTTGCACAGTTTCTGTGAGTCCATGACCTCGTGGTATGATTTGGAAGCAAATCAGACATTTCCCTTGAAGGCAGAGTTAAGGAGGACACAGTGGATGGATATTTTCCAGATTGATGAGCAGAGCATGATGATGGTTCAGTTAATATATAGACTGCCTGCTGGGGAGAACAGCGCTTTTCATTGCCTAATTAATCAAATGAATCAGTAAGATCTCATTGTTTTGTTCTTAGATTCTTATAATACGGATTTAATGAGGACTGAGGCACTACACTAATGTAGGCATGTGTGGATGCATGCAAACAGACGCACCAAAAGTGAAGAGAGAAATAAACAAAGATGTTCTACCCATGCAGGGTACCCAAGGTTGAAGACCATGTAATTACTAGCAAGAGTACACTAGATTTTTATAATGATCCGACTGAAAAACCCCAGACCAATGTTGACAACTCATTTACAATGAAAGTAAAAGAAAAACAAGCGAGCAGTTTGAGGAAGACTGTGCATGGATAGACTGCTCGCAAGCAGGCATGCAAGCAGGTAGCTCGTCCAATTATTACATTTGGACCGAATCAAATGATTGAACGGGCTTATTACAGTCCTGCGATAGCCACAGTTACCCAATTCTTTTCTTTTTTTTGTCGAGGCATTTGATTCATTGCTGTCGGGATGTAGTGAGAATTTTAACACAAATAGCACGCAAAAAGATTTGATGAAGATTACCAACCCTGCCTTTTATGATCTTAACGATTCAGATGCATGGTAATGACAGGGGTGAAAGACGAATGTCTTTCATTTCCTCCACTCAAGACAAAAAGGAAGCTACTTGCATGCAAAAAAAGAAAAAGAAAATTAAAATATTAAAGCTTCTGATACACCCATATAAACAAAAGTACACAGAGAGCAAAAAGATGAATATCAAAGAGGCTGTAGCAGAACTTGCAGCTCAGTTTTCTGCCTCAGGCAATATTGATACTGCAAAAAAAAAACTGATCCCACTTCCTCAACAACATGGCTGATGTTTCATATTATTTTCTCAGAGGTAGTGTGCATTTACCTTAGCAATTTCTGGAGGCAGGCTGCAGGCTGCAGGGGCTCCATCAGGTGTGTGCACCCTGGAAGTGGGGCTCCGACGATCTGCAAGCTCAAGCCCCGCCAAACCCAACTGAGAGCAGCTGCAGAGAGAGGGAGGCTCCACCTTCCTGCCAGAGATCAGGTAGGTCTTCAGGCCTGGAGGGACAGAAACAGAGAGGGAGAGGAAGATGTCAGTGGCAGATCAGTTGTTACTCTCAGATGAAACTGGAACAGGCCTGAGTTGGGTTTAGTCATCCCTGTTTGGTGGTTGAGGAGTTGTTTTAGGATTCAGCAGAGGCTCAGTACCCGGCACAATGAATTCCCCAGTGAATCATGTCAGCAGGTTCTCGCATGAAAGTATAGAATAAAGAGAGGGAGACGCAGAGAATATCAATATATGCTAGATGAAAAAAACAAGGTCACACATGACTCATTCTTGTTTCCATAAACATACAGTATACATCGAAAAGATGTGTGATGCATCTGTGCAATATTTTTTTCTTTCTCTAGAATGAGACAGAAGAGCCATTGTCATTTCTTTTGCACCCTCATCACACCTAATTCTCTGCTCCAACTCCATAGCCTGAGGAAGAATTTCTCTATAGAAGCGCTGAAATCCTCCCATATATCATTATTAATCTATTTTTCTCTGTAATGAGATAATTCATCTTTCATAAATGTATCCCATAGAATGCATGTGCACATGCATGAATTTGAGGTCCTCATGAGAGACAGTAAGAGTTTCAAACACAACAGACCATGGCGAAATATTTGAACACCTGCCCACATGTTATCATTTCCATCAGTCCTACAAGGTGTGTGTGTCTGTGTCTGTAGGGGTGTGTGTGTGTGTCTGTGTGCAACCTTTAGCCAAAAATCAATCCTCCAGCCAACAAAATTGACCACTTCGCCCAAGACACTGACAAAACATGGCAATGTGGAGAGATGTCTTTCAAATGATCTAACTGCTTATATGCACAACATATTTCACTTGCTTTACAACATTGGACGCACGGAAATACACAAGCTTGCATATTTTTACACTCTAACTAACTGAGACTAAGTGTTTGTTACCGAATCCCCTCTTCATATTTCCCGCATCTGTCTGCAACACTGCAGTGGCAAGCCACATCCACAGTAACAGGTATCTGTGTGTGTTTGTATGTGTGTGTGTCAGCAACATAGGTAAGTACCTGGGACCATGTGCTTATCCACATATTTCAACTGTCAGTGAAGCTGCAGCGTCTGGCTCTGAGCATTGTTTGCCCTAAGTACTTCAGACAGTCCTCCCACTGCTGAGCCTCTGCTGAGCAACCCTGGAGCTGCACTCTAACACACTCACACAGACCACACATGTGGCACGAGGGTACATGTTCTCATTTGCAATGATACATATGCACACACATATATACAAATACATATATATATAAAAAAAGAAATACAGCACCTCCAATCACCTACACACCCAGTCAAATACATATACAGCACAGAGCAGAGGTGTGGATGGACGGCTTCGCTGTAGCTGGGTCGATAGCCAGATGGATGAGGATTCAGGGATGGGAAGCGAAGGCGGTAAACAGCAGTAACAAAGAACTAATTCCCTGCACCAGTGATGCAGAATGACACGCCCGCAAGAAGAGGAATCTTTGACTGCCTCTAAAGATGAAAATGTGTGAGTGTGACTGTGTGTTAAAGGGAGATCCATAGACACACACACACACACACACACACAATACTCACACACTGCGTTGACTGATTTCATTAGTTTGCTAATGAAATCCTTCTCTGCCTCCCACCAGGACATTCAGTGACTTCTGCTCATGGGTCAACAGGGTTGCTTTTCCCCCCCCTTTCTCTTGGTTTCTGTTTTTGTCTTCTGTCTTTGCCTCAACACAGTGTTTTCTAAAAGCAAAACAGGTAAAGATATCTTGAAATGACATATGTAGGGCAGCAAAGAAAATGTCAAATGATGTCTCATTTTCCCCATGACCGTGGGCAGAGATTTGCATTGATGGGACTGCTCTCTTGTCTTTCACGGCAATTTCTAAAAGATTCTCTTTTTTGAGTCAAAAAGACGCTCATGTCTGTTTCAGGCTAAAACACAAAACTTCCAAAGTATGTGAGTCACACTGTATTATTTATTAATATATTTAGAGTCACGATTAATGCAAATCATATATCTGCTGTAAAAACAATGGTGCCGGCTGAGTAATAATAAAACTGTATATGACGGGGACAGAGCCAAATCCGACTAAACAGAAATCACTGAACCATTCTGCCTCTATTCCCCAATATCGTAACAGCTTGCGAAAGATAATTAAGTGTTTCAAGCAAGATAATACACACAGCAACACATTACTAGAGCAGAACATTTGATAGTGGATCAAACAATAATGACTCAATATTTTAAAAAAACACACAAAGACAATTACAAACAAGATACCAGACATGAATACAAAACTGGATAAGAGGGGAACAAAAAAAGGGAAAAATTGGTCAAAACTCATAAATAAAACTCTTGAAACTGAAGGAAACCACAGCAAGCTGTTGAGTGAGGGGGCGGGAGATCAGCTGCAGTCTACCCTCCCATCACCTCATGTTTGGCTTTGACTTACGTCAAAATAAATGTGTTGCTGGCTTGATTTCAGACATTTCAGAGCTCCCCTTCTGTCAGACAAAAGCAGAGAACAGACAGGAATCCATGGCCATCTCTTTCAGAGGTTAATGCGGATGTATATTAGATGGATCACATCTTGTGGACAGTTTGTTTCAGGGAGAGTCCCGACAGCCAGAGAAGAGCAAGATAAATCGACTGCAGGGGCTTGCAAAGGTGCACAGCATGTTATCCGTGTTTGTTTGTATGAGGGGGTTAAATGAGTTCAAGTGTCTGCAGATGTTTATCCGCTTGTTTCTGGCAATTCTGGGACAATCTCTCATAGTAACAATCCAACCTTGTGGTAGATGAAATTACATTGTTGTCATGGGTAGTAAATTGTGGCTCTGATAACCTGGCCTGACCAGCAGCTGGCCCCAATGTCCCCTTCAACAGGTTCCAACATCATCAGAACAGCTGTGCCCCAAAGACCTTGTGGCAGGGGAAAAGTTCAGGAAACTTCATGCTTGTTTCTTTCTAGCTGAGTGTGTCTGACTACGTATCGGTCAGTCTGTGCACATCTTCTTGATGATCTGCGATACAAGTACATGTACGTGTGTTTGCCGCTCTCCATGTCTGTTGACCCTGGGCTAATTGAAGAGCATCATTAGTGGAAGCCTCTATAGCAATTTGAAGTGTCCTGTCCAGTGCTATCATCTGACAGGTAACAGTAGACAACCTTTCCCCATTAGAGCCCACTCATATTATCTCCCTCTCCAGGCCCTTTTGTTTCCGGACAGAGGAGAGCAACATGAGAAAAGCACTTTGCAACCAAATAACACCATCACCTCCTCCCTCTCTCACCTCCTCACGGCACGTCCACACTCTTCAGGGACTGCAGCCGCCCCTGAACCTCTCTTTGCATGATGCTCAGAGGAGTTCAGTGCAGAGGTTGGGTGCGCCAAACAAACATAGATAAAAAGGTGGAGACAACACATAAGTTGTGACTGCAGTGGTCATTTCCCACACCACCAATATAACCTTCGATCTGGCCCGAGAACGATGGACAACTAGCTGGAATGCAAAAGACCAGGTACGAAAAGCCTGGCTGCTAGAGACACTTTTAGTGTCCTATATATGTCAAGGAATAATTGATGTCACTTTGTGACAGACAGTTAGACAGACAGACAGAAATATAGACTATCAATCTATCTTTACATTGACACACACACACAAAAAGAGGGAATAAAGAATGGAAGGCTAAATTATCAAAGAAAAAAAAGAAGATGGTAGTGAACAGCCAATGCTGCTGTCCTGGGGAGGTTTACTAAAAGCAGCAGAACACAGAGGGCAATGGTGAGGGAATAAGAAGGCAGAAATGCTTGGATCAGCACACACACACACACACACACACACACACACACACACACACACACATTAACACAAACATATCATGCGCCTTATCTTCTGATAATGACAGGTTTGCCTTCCAGGGCCAGATTTTGGAGCAGGAGGGTAGAGGAGCAGGTGGCGCAGAGAAACTAGCATTGCTCGGCTGGACAGCTCTCCATGCCAGTTGGCATTGCCAGCGAGCAGCCCCCACCCTCCCCCACCACTGCGCCCACTTCCTGGGATATACTGTACATCCTGCTGTCCCTATCGGGGGGGGGGGGGGGGGGGGAGAGGGCAGCAGGAACATAAAGGGAACCTGTCCAGTATGACAGGCTGTTTAGGCGGACTTCATTACCCTGGCATGGTTTGCAGAGGAGAGGAGGCAGAGATAAGATAGCAGAGATGAAAGACGTGGAGGCTAGAGTGAGTCTGTGAGTTGTGTGCCGTTTATGAGTGAACCCATTCAGTCAGAAAGCATGAAAGACGATCTACATTTTTCATAAGGAATCATCAAGGGACTCACACTGTCATCTCTGACCTTCCTTTTTTACAGCTGAACACTTCTGCTGAGCTGTTATGTCTAAAGCATTAAAGGGCATGCAAGAAAATGAGCAGAATTATTCACAATGTTAAATTTGGGCAGAGTGTCTCCTCCGTCTGAGTCAAGAAGAGAAGTATGATGAATAATACAGATGACAGGATGTTTCACACTTTGCTCAGTTTACTACGTACATAAACAAGCAGGCTGAGCTAAATGCTGATTGTTTTAAATATATTGTGTGTGCTTACAAGCACACTGGGCATGGAGCCAACAACAAACTGTATCAATGCCCAATATGTATAATTTAAGTAAGCCTCTGATGGATTTATAGTAGAACTGTAAAACAACACAGATTTGTCAACCTGTAAAGATTTTGACCTGCTGTTTCTATCTATATAATATTTCTATCTCCGGTTGAAACAGGCTATTGTCGGTTAAGGTCTGCTTTTTATTTGGTCTAATAGATTTTAGCATCAATTTGATGAGGTACCTTTTTGGAGTATTTCATTCACTAGATTACCCTAAAAAGCTCTCATCTAGTTATTTTGTCATTAAATGAATTCACAATTGAAAATCCAGAAAATTACTGTAATTGATAATGATGGGTGGTAAGTATGTTTTCTTTGTTTT